CCTAAATCCGCAGCCGTCGGCATTCACCCACAAACCGCCGACATGATTGCAGCTGAAGATTTGTCTCACTGGAATTACAATTACAAGCGCTACGACATCGGCGCAAGGTGCCTCTTGTCTCATCTTACCCCTTGCTCACCTTTATAGCATTTGAAATAAAAGCCTTGAGCTTTAAGAACAAATGCCTAAACTCCGGCACCCAAAACACCTACAAACCTCAACGCCCTGCACGACCGGACTTAGCACCCTGCAGGCACACACAACAAGCAATAAACTAGGACATCAAACACAATGATATCCCAGCAAAATCCTTGAAACGCAATCACGAGATCACGACGCAACAACCCAATATCTGAGGGCCCACGGAAGCTCTGATTTCCTAGAAACCCCTGGACCGGTACAATTGAACCCTAAGCCGAAGCCCCATAAACCCTGAACCTGAAACCCCAAGCTAAACCTAACTCGAAGCCTTAGCACACTCTAAGGTCTCGGCAAGCGAGTGCCTCGTCGAGTGGGACACACGCACACGGTTTGCGGTTGCAGGGTGTAGGCTTCAGGACCCGAAGACTCCGACAGCCCTTGATATAGCAGTGCATCCTAAACTATAGAGTTCTCTGGGGTCTTACACCTACACGGCATGTACCTTCGGTCGAAAAAGGGATCCTCACTATGATTTGAGGAAACATCTCGTGTCGGGGATTTGAGAATCTCTGGGCAGGCTGTGTTCGAGCTTAAGGTGATTCGGGCGAACACAGGGAGATTCGCATCATTATCTCACCCATAAATCTTTTGAATAGATGAGATTTATTAACATATTTCATCCATATATCTTATGATATCCCACTTATCGATCTCATACGAAAATATGATTTCACCAATATCCCATCTAATACATCTTAAAACGAAATTTAATTTGGGTTAAAATGGGATTGATTAAAGGTGCCGAGCTGGGAGGGCTTCCAGGCTCATGCGGAATAGTGTTCTTGTATGTGGTCTGGAAGGTGTTGCCCGTCTGCAACAGCATAAACCTGCTTTTCTAACACATCTTTCCGCATGCGATAGGCTTCAACCCCACGTCACGAAAGCTCCTAACCCCATCCCTCCCCCAAAAAAACAAGGCACAAGAAGTATGGATCACTTCGGGGTGTCTCTCTAGATGCCGAGATGCGAGATCTCCCAACTCCTCGGCCAGCTGTCGCGGCCACCCCGCCTGTGTCAGAACGCAGGAAGCCTACCATGTATTGAGGGCCATGTCACCTACACCCTAAACTAAAGCCCAAGACAGAGCACACACCGAATCTTATTCCCTGTCCCTCTCTCTCGCTCTCGCGCTCTCTCTCGTGCTCTCTCTCTCTCTCTCTCTCTCTCTCTCTCTCTCTCTCTCTCTCTCTCTCTCTCTCTCTCTCTCGCATGCACTCGAAACTTCAACCCTGCACCCCAAAACCATGGGAAGCTCCGACATTTCAATTGTTCGATGTTCAAAGAACCGACCCAGAACCTCCAGAAAGAGCTATGACGTCCAAAATGCCTCCCCTAACCCGGGGCAGACACAGGTTGTGCAGGGCAGAAGTTCAGAGCACTGGGCTGTCAGGGTCGACAGGTTCTGTAGGGCTTTAGTCGTAGGTTTGGGGGCACTGGGCTGTCAACGTATTCTGCTGCCCGATTTTGCGCACTCAAGCGATTTCTTCGATGCATCTGAACTCACTTGTATGCTGCGCGTTGAAACCAAAGTTGAACCCAAAGCACGGCGTACACTCTCAGTGTCTTGGGCTCCGTGCCGATGGGTCCAGACCTTCAAACTTTTTGGTTTCGACTCTCGCACTCGCTCAAGGCAGGCAAGGGCCCGTGCACAAACTACAAGTTGCTACCCCGACAACACCAGTCTCGTCCGACGATCACGAACAATCAGTCAAGATTCAAGAGTATAGCATGTGACCACAAACCATAGCCAAAGCGCAAACTCCTTGGTCTGCCACATTCATCTCAGATGTTGCTCAAGCGCGGCACACATCAACTGTAATCATCTCAGAATATCTTAATGGGAAGCTCAACTCCGCGAAACACATGTCGTAACAGCTCGTATGTTACCCAGATCAATGTCAAATTGGAGCAATTTCGGGCACCTGTTTCAAAGTGGACGTGAGGCTCGTTGTCCCTCACGTACTCAGTGTGCATAAGGCTGCAGCCGATGATCGTTACTTGTGTTGACAGATCAGGCGCATGTGTTAGGCGGGTCAAAGTCCAGGAAGCTGTCCATTGATGACCCAGACATATATCACCACTTACTTCGGCGCAAAAATTGCGGTGCATGCAGGTGCGAACATATCCACCAGGCTCCACATCTTGGCTGATTACTTCGCGTAGTTCTTGGTTGCAACAGCCATCCCACGATCCAGATCTTAGCATTAGTAGCTTCACCTGATCAACACATAGGCATTACACACGCAGTATACCTAGCAGCACGAAGCCTGACATCCGCTCCGACCCCAGCCCTGACTCTAAGCACAGGACATTGCATCAGCCGCCCATGAGCCCCACCCACGTAGGGCTGAACTGCTTCGAGGATTGGGAAGACCTGCTCGCTCCAACCACGATGGCAGGCAGGGGCTTCGATCGAAGCTTGAGATTTAGGCTTTTTCGAGTTTTGGGTTTAGGTCCGTTTAGGTACTGACATACCACATACATCGTGAGGACCGAAGGTTTGACTCACTGGACCTTCCTTGTTTCAAGTACCTCGTGGGTTGGGGCTTGGGCTTCTAGCTTCCTCACACCGTGAAACCCGGCCAAACTTCGATCCATAACCGGGCCGGGAGCACCATATCACCATGAGCCGATGCCAAGGCTGGTGGGCGATTGATCAGGAGCTCCAACCTCAATGGCTGTAGCACTCGGACACGCCGGCGTAGGCTCTTGGTGGTTCTTGCTGCGTAGTCGGTTGGAGGTGAGACCCATGCCCATAGAGACGATGGGAAGGTCATCATTCAAGGATTTCTGCGTGAGGAAGTCGGGACTGTTCATCTCACCTCGAAGAAGCCCAGTCATACGTGCTATCGAGTGTGTGTCTTTTCAGCTTCGACCTAAAGTATTCTTGGGTCTAGTGCTGGGAAAAGCACTTTTTTTGCAGCTCGGCCGTGTAATGCCGGCCTGGGATCGGCGAACTCGGAACCTCGCCCTTCACCTGCAGTATGACGTACTAGAGAGTACGAATTAGGGCTGAGAGTTTAGGGTCTCAGCTTACGGTTTAGGGTTTCAAACCTTCGCTCAACGTGTGAGGAGGCCCTGAGCCCAAACTGCAGAAAGTCTTGGGCTCCGGCAAGACGATGCCAAAAGAATACACTTCTGACCTCGGTGAGGGAATTGACCGGGCCGCAAGGCGGGTACTTATACCGCTGGTACCCAACTCAAAGTTAGCTCAGGCTAAAGGGCTCATGGGCCAGGGTTGAAGGAATCTGGGCGGCGAGCTTGGGCTCAGATTCCGAGCTGAAACCAAAGTGTTGCGGATTTCATGATCTAGCTGCAGGGGCGAAGCTGGGCTGCTCTAGGTCACGATCCATCCGTCTTTGATTTCCAGTCTTCATGAAAAGATGAATTTTCGGGCATCGGGAAAGTTAGAGGTTTAGGCAGTGCCAAAGCCCAGCTCAGTCTGAGGCTTGAGGATTGGCTGCTTGAGTCGGAGGGCCTTCCGGCTCTTTCAAGATTTTGCTGGCAAACCTGGTTGCAGGGATGGGCCGCCCCGAGATTCGAAGCACAGCCATCATTTCGCGGTCGTAGTCGCACATGGTCGTCATCGCGGCACTTCTAGGCACTGGACCGGAAAGCCCCAAAGCCACCAGCACCCAAATCCCTACATCTCAGAGGCCCTAAACCATGAGCCGTGGACACCCAAAAAAGATCAAAATTCGTCAAACCCTCATATTAAACCGAAATCCCTAACTCTGACATTTCTAGAAACCTAACCCTACAGGTCCGAAGGACCCAATAATTGGGAACTTGAACTTAGGATAGTAGTAATCTACAGGTTAGCATAGAAAAAGATCATATGATGCATGGACCTTGAAGGAACACCGTTAAACCCGTACACCCTAAACCAAAAACCCTACAGTAAATTCCTTGTGCCTTAAAGCTAGACTAACTGGGAAGTTCAACCGTTGATCGGGCGCCGGCTCTTCCGTGACTTGTCGAGAGCGGATGTAGGTCAAACATGTGTACCTGCAGACATCACAGGTTTTATTCACCGACTTACACAAGCCTGCCATTCGGGCTCATAGCTTTCAAGGTTTGCGATTTAGCGGTTTTGGGCTGTTTAGTTGGTGGGTTGGTGGTTTGACATATAAGACGGGGGAGTTCATTCGACAAACCCTTGCTTCCGTACTGCGGTTGGAAACCCGACAGGATTTTTCAGGGCTCTTAGCATGTTCTGACGGGTTCATGACCAGCTAGTTCAAATTAGCCCGACCAATGAATAACAGGTTTCCCCTTATAAACCCTGAACCCTAACCTCTACACCCCTAAACCAAGAGCAGACCCACGAATGACCCGAGTGGCCTGCCGGTGCACCTCTCAGAAAGCGGGGCATCAGAGACAGAAAAGAAGACAACAAGAACGGCTAGTCCTCCATTACTTGGGTGGTTGTCAAACTTAAGGTCCCTTTTTGGGTACCCTAAATAATAGGTGCCGTTTTATAATGGGGACCCCAGAAGGGACCATAATTTTGACAACCACCCACTTGCGGCCAACAGCTAAGGCCGGCTTGCGACGTGGGGTGTGGGATCCAGGGGGAAGGGTCACTTTGAGCCCCCGCCATCTTGAAACTCAAGTCAAGAACTTGGAAAAGAGCAAAACAACACTCGGCTAAAATCTCGCATTTAGGGTTTATTCCTGCTTGTCGCGAGCCTACAGATTGCTTTCAAGTTTAAAGCTGTGGCTGGCAGGTGGGATTCCATCCACCCTCGGGGATGACGAGCTCCCGGGTGGTGTCTCGTGGACAACACTCACCTGGGTTATGATAAAGGTGGTTGCACCGGGGCGAATGCCTCGGAGCAGTCGTGCTTCTTTGGTTCGCAGGGCGGAGCTTTAGGGTGCAATCGGAACCGACATGTCCCTCTCACGGGCATTTTTGCATTCACCGCCACAAGGTGCACCATGTGCTCGGTCCGCTGCATGCCCCTCGTCCTCGAACCAGGAAAGTCCAGACACTTTCTGAACTGCGGTTTGCTACTGACACCATGACTTCTCTTACTATAATTACCGCGTTTCCCGGTAAAAAAGCACACCCAGAAATCTTGTGTGTTGATCATGGCTTTCCAAACCTAAGGTACCTGCCGGTGCCTTTATGGCTTTCAGGTCTCGGCGCTGACGTCAGGAGGCTCACTAATCATTAGTCCATGCCCTCGGAGGAACGGATGATGAGCATCTCGGGACACCGTCACTCACGCAGCCCTTAAAAAGAGCTCCCAGCCCTCTGCCAAGAACCTTCCTGCACCGACAACAGCAAAGCCCTCTTTTGGCTGTACTGTGGTATGTCGCACTTGTTCCGGATGACCTATTTTGTGGGCTGGGTGTCAGAAGTTTGTGTAATTAGCCACAAACGGAATTGCAATTCAGGGTCCTGAGGGACACCTCCCTGCAAAAGACTTGCAGAACCCCTGGAATACCCCACAACACTTGAGCAACCCTTGCGTGAACAAAAGCTACACGCCATCAACATGTGCTCGCCATTCTTGCTTTCTTGGGGCTTAGGGCCTGGCAACGGAACTTGAACAACAACCCCTTCTCGTTCTTTGTTATCACAACCAGCGGTTGAAGAATAAAGGGCGTTTAGAATCATACAGGACCTGAAACAATTGAATAGCTTCTCTCCTTGATTCTGTTGACTTGTTTTCCTCCCTCTCCATCTTTCTTTAATCCATCTTCGCGCCCTTCGTGCGCAGATCTTGAACACCCAGGCCCCAGATCTCATCCCAACACGTACCCGCCTGCTTTCTTTTGACACCTGCAAACCTCCTAAACTCATCACACCAGCACCGGAAACTCCATCATCCACTAGACCCCTTAACGAGAGAGCGAGAGAGAGACAGAGAGAGAGAGAGGGAGAGAGAGAGAGAGAGAGAGAGAGCGAGCGCGGGGGACGAGGGAGGCAGCGAGGGAGGGAAGGACGGAGGGAGGGAGAGAGAGGGAGACGAAAAAGCTGGTCTTTTGGGTCCTGTGTGCTTCGTCCGCCACAGCTTCGATCGTTGCCAGCGCTACAGTCTCGAATCCAACAGCCTGAGCAGGTCTTGAGACAGGGGCACCATTCTGGAGACTTCGGGGTTATAGGGTTCCTGTAGGGTTGTACAAACTTTCTGTTGGTTTGCATGAGCTGTTTAGCTGACGGAACTGATATTGAGGGGGTTTCGACAATACAGATCCTACTGTCTACGTAGTTTAGGGTATGTATTCAAGCTCCCTGTTAATGTTAAACCGATGCCGGAGACCTCAAGAGGTTGTTTGTCTTCTTCTTCCTGTGGGGAGATGTATGCGTCATACAAGCCTCTGCATCACTGCTGGAGAAGGACATGTAAGCAATGAGGGCACCAACGTCGGGCTCTCCTCTCCTGAGGGTTCCTACACAGGACAGTGCGACATGCAATCAACACCAGCCAAGATGTAGAGTTCCCTTCCTTGACGACCATCTTCCGACCCCGAGAAGGAAGCGTCTTGATCATGGCATAGACGACTCAGATTGTGCATGAATGAGTGATACACGCGTTGAAAAGCCTGCTTGTCAACTGCGGACAGCCCCCCGTGTTTGAAGCATCCACCTCCGCAGCAGCCAAGGTAGAAGCCAAATTATCGAAGCCTTGGCAGCGAACTTCGATGTCGATGGAGTTGCAGGGTTGCTAGATTCAGAGAGCCCCATGGAGGATTCCCGGGTGTCGTGGCAGAGCTGACAGAAAGAAGCTTGAGGGTAGGGAGTCTACCCTGCAGGAAAGCCCCACAACTCGTAACCACATAACATAAATCTAAAACCCCAAGCCCCAGCCCCAGGCCGTACTTGGGCCTACGCCCGAAAACCGCGACTCAAAGCGATATCGACTTTCTGAGGCGACGGTTCGCGGTTGATTTCGGACACCTTCGATGTATAAACTATAAAGTATGAAGCAAGATGAAGCAAGCCTTTGCACCTGAACTCCGCGCACAGAACAACTCGCTCAAAACTGTAATTTTGGCCCTCTGGAGCAGCTTTACCTCTTTGTGGTTCACCTTTGCGGCTCAAAAAAAACATCCTAAACCCAAACTAAACTCTACGGCCCCAAATCATAACCCTAAGCCCTGAGCGGCTGATCTGTTTAAGCTGGACCGCCATTTTCCACTGAGGAGTCGCCATCGCCGATCATCAAAGTCGCTGTGCCGCCTGTCTTCAGGATTTTCAACGGGTTTGGAGTTTAGGGCTTTGTGATGCTCACACTCCGCAATACCTAGGGTTTCGTGCCTTCGGTCTTCGGGAATTTCGGGTTTAGGTTTCCTGGCAGGACGTAAGGATCAGGAGTATTTCTTGCCTACATGGAAGACCGAGCCGATCCTTCAAGCCCCTGCCTGAAACCCAAGTTGTGTAAACGAGTTGGGGACGTGGCGTGACAAACTGGAATCAGAAACAACTTCTGACCATTGAAGCCACTGCTTTCTTCGGATCTGCATTCAACATTTAGACTGCATTGGGCACGGAGCTGAAACCACACACTCACGCGTCAACCGCAGCGAGGAGCGCACCCCCAGACTTGAGACCGTTGCACTGCCTGGCTTTAGGCATGCCCGAGCAGACTTCAGCCATTCCTCCTGCGAGCATGCAGCGGCTTCTCGGCTGCCTTAAACTAAATCGAATTGCTCTGATACGCGCCGGTCACCGGTCATGCAAGGAGTTTTGCATGATTTGGTGACGGACTAAACCCTGTACAATCTACACCGTACATCCGTAAATGCCTAAATCCCCAAGGCCTGAATCTCTGTTTTGCATCCGGGCTTGGGAGGTCAGATTTCTCCCAAGTTCTCTAAAACCCCAAATCCCGAATTCCATACACTCCTAATTCCCTAAATCCCCAAACATAGAAGACGAAAGCCCGAAATCCCCAACCCCTAGAACCCCAAATCCCCCAACCCTATTTCGTATGGTTGCAGCATCCCCATCTCCTGTTGTAGCTGCCACGTCTCTTCGAAGGCTGCCATGGTGTCGCTCGACCAGGTCCGCCGTGCACCGATCTCCTTCAGGGTTTCGACTCACTCGCTCAACGCAGGCACGGCTTCATGAGGTCAGGCTTTAGGGCCGGAGGGCTGTAGGGGAGCGTAGGGCTTCAGGGGGGGAGCCAACGGTGGGCGCTGTTGACAGAGTTTTAGACTGCCCAAAGTAGGGATCGCGTGTTTATGTGGAGTCTGATGGCTTACGGCCCCTGGAGCTTTGGAATTAGATGTATTTCAGGGCTTTGGGATAAGGGTCTGGGCTTCCGACTAGGGTTCCTTCGGGGTTTTGGAGCTTATGCAGAGGTCTTAAGGTTTTGCGGCGTTGATGGTCGACAGAGCGATTCCAAGGTTAGAAGGTGAGAAAACCCTCAAACCCACACCAAGCAGACTCGGGTTCCGTTGAAGCTAGTAGTACTATATGTGTAGAGGCCCCTATAGCAGCCACAAGCCCGAATAGATTCTATCCTAAAAATTACAAACCCCAAGCCCAGCATCTTTTCATGAAGAAACAAAACCTTCCTGGGGCATAACTCTTAACCCAAACCCAAAATCAACATAGCACCTACACAAACAAACTGCGAAAATCGCGTGCATGCTCACTGGATCGCAACAAGAAGCCGACTGATGACCTGGGGATTTTTGCTTTTGCCTTCCGTATTTTGGTATGAGGTTGGTAGAGGTCCTAGCACTTAATGAACGTTCATAATGGCTTCAATTCGAGCGCACACCTGTGAAGCTGCATGCCAAGATTTCGAGACCTAAATCAGAACCTCAAAGCCAAACTTGCAACTTGCACTCAACCTTTGCAAACCTTTATCCGAACCCTGTAAGCAACACTAGGCTTCATGCCCCGGAAGCTCAAAACCTTATTTACGTCCAAAGTCCCAAAGACACACCGAGCTCCGGCGCTGACGTCCGAAACGAGGCATCGTATCCGCGCGCAGCTGCACTCAGCGACACGCCACGCAAAGCAGCGGCCTCCGCGAGTAAAGGTTGCGAGCAAGCCTGAGGAATCCCTATATGCAACCTGTAAGCGCGCTACTTGCTGTAACTGTTACAAAAAGGCTCTTTGACATATGTCCATATGTTCAGATAGGTAGATAAATATTTGTAAGCGAAATGTGTCTATGGCATGCGATGTTCAGGCAGCTTTGAGGACAGCGTTTGGTGCTGCTGTCCTGGTGCTCGGGGCGTATAGTTCGGACTTCCTTCAATATAGACCACCCCGAACACCAAGCCTTATGGTGGTGTCTTCGGGCCCACATGTCCCCTGAGACAGTACAACCTGCAACCCAAAAGTGATGCCGTCGGGGGATTTCTTCTTCAAACTTGGCGACCCTGTTCGTGCGGGACTTCGGACCGTCTTCAATCCCAAGTGCACCCAGGCCGACTGCAGCAGCCGAGCAAAGCAGTGAGAGTCAGGAAAACACGAAGATCTGATCTACACAACGCCTTCAAATCCGCACTATCCGCCGTGAACAGCTGGATCAGGCATTGATCTCGCTCAAATGCTCCTTGTGGCTATCTGCATTTTGAAGAATCGCGGCAGGAGTCCCGGCAACAACCTTGAAGTAACAAACCACGTGACTACATGGGAGTTTCCCATAAAATAGGGGACCCAAATATAGCACCCTAAACAGTATAGGGTCCTGATTGTAAGGACCCCAAAATAAGGCGTCCCTAAATTTCGGAAACTCCCACATGTGTTCGGCCTCGACCGGGTTCGACGTATTGTCCTGGTTCTGCGACAAGAAGTTGTACACCTGTCAGCTGCAGCTTTAAAGGAGTTTCCACAAATTGCGCTGAGAGCCCGGCAAAGACCGACCCCGCTCCACGAAGCGAGTTTCATAGTATCTTCATCTACGAGCGAAAGGATTCGCTGACTGTTCGGGGCCTAGGTCGTGGCAGTCGTGGTCGGATGCCTGCTCTACTCTAAGGATCCTGCTGAGCCGCTTAGAACTAGCTTCCCTCGCGAGGCAGCTGTTAAATTCCAGAATAGACCCATGAAGTATGGTAGGATGCAAAGCTTACACCCAAAAGCCAAAAAGGTTGTAAGCTACCTCCTCAGCTTCGAAGAGATCGACCGAGAGTTTGTCTTTAGGCAAGGGCTTTTGTAGAGAGTGGCTGCCAGAGGGAGAGGGGGAGAGAGGGAGAGGGCGAGGGGGAGAGGGTCAGGAAAACACGTAGTGGAGCGTGAAGTTGGGTGGTGGGATTTTGGGATGAAGAAGAGGGTTTATAGCGGAAGCTGCAGACCGTGTCTGGAGTCTATAGACCCAGAATCCCATTCCAACGAACCCAAAGCAAACCAAGCTGTAAAACACAGCAGAAAGTGATCGAAATTCTGCTTGGCTGCTCCCGGGTATGGCCTTGGTTGGTTCGGCAACGGCGGGACTACGTACCACAAGAAACAGTCCCGGCTGCAGTGCGGAAAGTTCGACGATTGGAGATATATCCGGACTTCATAAACCCAAACAAAAAAACCCAGCGTCAGGTTCTTGCAACGCTGTCTCTGCAGTCAGTGAGCCTTCGGGTTGGGTTGAGTACTCGGTTCGGGAAGGCGACGACATCTAGCAGCTCTTCACCAAACCTGCCAAGCCCTAGACCATCCCACCTGTCCGAAAATTCGTGTCGCCCGGCACAGCACAGGACACAGGGTAAGTCCGATTTGGAGCGTTTACCGTGCTTCATGCCTCAAGGTCGAAAACGAGCCCTGAGGTAGAGAGAGAGCGAGAGAGAGAGAGAGAGATACAGAGATAGAGAGATAGAGAGATAGAGAGAGAGAGAGAGAGAGAGACAGACAGCGAGAGAGAGGCAGGCAGAGAGAGAGGGAGAGAGAGAGACAGCGTGGTTAACACTCGCCTATACTGAGATGATGAAAGGTTGCATTCGATAGAAAGGCAGGCGCTCTGAAGGAGTGGAGGCTCAGGCCGTGAAAGCATAGTGAAGTCGGGACAGAAAGTTAGAACAAAGGGATCAGGATTACTAGGACTCGGACTGGGATTCCCTAAGGGCATGAGGAACATTATGCTTTCGGCGTGGATGATGGGCTGCCGCGGTGCGGAGATGTAAGAATGGCATCGACCGGCATGGCCAAACCCAGGTCGCGCATGTCTCCGTTGAAGAGCGTCGCTTGGGGTGGACCCTGAGTTTGGGAGTACAATACGAGATTAAAGGTTGCTTTTTTCTTTGAACCCTCTTTTCCTCCTGCCCGTTCGGAGATTAGAGGTTAAGGGTTCAGGGAATGAGGTTCGTGGGGGTAGGGGATGCTTTAGGCTTATAGGGTTGAGTTGTGCGTAGGGCTCACAAGGCGGACGGCTGCCACCGGCTTTTGCGGCAACGGCCGTGAACCCTTATGCAACCATGCTCGGTATTCTGGGGTCATAAGGTACCCAAGCCTCAAGCTCAGAAACCAAAACCTCGGTCTGGTCCAAATGTTCAGGGTTCATTCTACCGACGTCTTCCTCGACCTCGGCCCTGCGCCTTTGAAGACGCCTGACCAAGAAGTACGACATCTCTGTCTGGTGCACAACAAGCAACATTAAGGTCCTTGTAGTTTGAGCCTCTTCTTGCGAACGTAAAATGATGTACTTCCTGGGATCCGACAATGGATCCGAGCTTTGGTTTGAGAGCCGCTCATGTCTATTGAATTCAAAGAGCTGTCATTGTTCATCGGAACAAGCTTGCCCGAAAGCGGAAGAACAGTCTATGCTGCCAGGCAATGACTTTGGAAAACAAACCCAACTCAAAAAGACGGGCAAATCCTGCACCAATCGCAGACAAGGCACCGACATGCTCCTGAGTTTGACCAAGCTGAAGGCCAAAGCTTCAGCAAGACATGGCCATAAGCTATAAGCAGCGAAGAAAGGCATATTGGAAATACTTGTCGAGAACATGTTCGTCAGGTTGTGGTTCTACCAAGTAACATCACCACCAACACGAGCATGATCACTGTTGTCCAAATGCACCGTTGCCGCCGCCACCACTGCAACTTCCCAGCACCACAACCTCATCACTATCCTGAGCATCATCACTGTCATAATAAGCCCATGGCATTGGCCAGTTCTACAATATCAGATGTGGCTGAACTTCGTTTTCATGAGCAGGGCCGATTATTTCGCTGTCAACCGAATGCTTCCTCTCTGGGGCTCTGAAACCGCTGCAAGCCAAGGTTTAGGGTTGAGGAGTTCAGCGCCTCACCTACACCCGAAACTAAGCCTCAAACGCTTCGAGATCGCCGATTGCGGAAGCTTTTGCACCGAAAACGTTTTCACCCGAATGCAATACGACGGGGGTCGGTACAACGATCCGCGATGAACACGGGTAATGAAGGAGCTCCTCAGTCACGAAAACCCAATTCCGCCCTTCTCAGGAACAACCATGCATGAGGCTGCCCTTTGAGCAAAGCCGTGTCGCCCGGTGTGTCTCCGTTCTTGTCTTTGGCATGGTAGTCGACACCGGCCTTGATCAGGAGGCGCAGTTGATTGCGGTTACCCTTCATAGCGGCCCAGTGGGCCGGGGTACGTCCCTCGTTGTCCGGCTTCTGCAGGTCGACTCCCACTTTGATCAGGCTGCGCAGCGCTTCAACGCCATAGTAATTCATCGCGGCCCAGGAGGCAGGGGTTCGTCCCTCGTTGTCCGCCGCATTGAGGTCGGCCCCGGCCTCGGCCAGCAACTCCAACACCAGCGCCCCGTTTTTGCATTGCAGTTCTGGTACATTCGGGCCATTACAAGCATACGCTGTGCTTACAATGGCTGGCGTCTCGCCCTCCTTGTCCTTCGCGTCGAGATTGACCCCAGCCTCGTGGAGGAACTTCATCACCTCCAATTCACCATTCATTGCAGCATAGTGCGCCGCAGTCCGGAAGTCGATTGGGTTCAAGCTGGTATTCAAGTCGAACCCCTTACGGTGCTCCCGCTCGAGGGCCGCCACGTTACCCTTCTCTGCCCACTCTCTCACTGTCCCACGGATTGTGTCCGGAGGTGGCGGTGGCACACTCGCCTTTTCGGTGGCAGAATGCCCCGCTGCATACACCCGGTTGCCATCGACATGAGCCAGTGTGGCCAGCAAAACCAGCCCGGTCACCAACATCGCGCAGGTGAAGCTTGGAATTGACAAACCTATATAGAAAAACCAACTTTGCAGAGCCCAAAGCTTGAGCCAAAATGGGCTTCCAAAAAACGTTTAGGGTTTTCGGCGCTTGTTTGAAGCCGTTTGCACTGTGTACCGGACACTTCCCAGTGAACCAAGCTTATTTACCAGGCAGCAACATCATCGCAGTAGTAGCATCATGACAGCAACTGAAATTGCAGTTATCAGACAGCATACGAAGAGACGCGATACGAACTACATCCGGCCCAAACCTCTCTGCATTTCGGTTCGGTGAAGCAGCCCGGGGGTTGGGAGTCCGGCTTAAGTTCAAGGTTTGTGACTCTGCAGTGAGGCGGAGCTGAAAGATCTCCTCATTTTCCCCCCACAAAACTCGACCTCAGGATTTCCACATCGACGATCCAAGGAAGCACTTCCCCAATTGCTGAGTTCCCCAGCTGCTGACTCTAGCTCCCAACAGGGTAACCATTTAAGCGCAGCAGGCTCGTCCCTAAACCCGAAAGCTCCTGGATTTGCCGCTCTGATCCAGTCTTCGGACACCGAACGTAAAGGCATAAAGGCACCGTCAAAAGCCAAAGCATGAGCTCTAAGTGAAGCGAGCAGCGAACGCAGAGCTTCCACCCGCGAGGCGTATCGTTGAGCCGCAGAGACGAAATAGGCTCGTGCACGGGAGTCGGATGCCTGTCTTTAGGGCTCGGAGGCTTTTGGTTCAGGCTTGGCCCGCCTCCCGAGGACGAAGGTTTGTATGTTCGGGGTTTCGTGCTATAGTATAGGAATTCAGGGCGTTTTGCAGGCATACATGGCCGGCTGCAAGGTCTGTCAGAGTCATCAGCCAACTTAAACCGCTTAGCTCATTGCGCACAGGCATGTTACGTTAATTTCGGAAGGGGTTTGAAAGCTTATGGTTCAGATGTTATGGTTTACGGTGTCGGTTTCAAGGTTTCAGGGCTTAGGGTTTACAGACAGGCCGGGGGAAGGCGGTGGAACAGAGAATTCAGGTTTGCTTTGGCGGCCTGAAGATTTCGATGTTCTGTTATGCAGCCAAACGGCAAAATCCCGCGAACCCGATCCGTAAACGCACTTGTCCGGCTGAAGGCGCTGCACAATAACTTTGGTTCTCGTCGTGCCAAAAACAAATGCGGATGTACAGGACCGAAAGTTCCTCCTAGAGCCCTGAACCTCACCGAACACTTCGACATCCGGACGGAATAAATTTAAGTGCCTCTGTCCCCTTTTGGACAGGCCTCGCCGTCCTGCACGGAAGAGATGTTGGAGCCTGATGCAGATGCTCCCCCTGAACTTGGGATTCCGTGCTCAAGGGTTAGAGCTGTCGGGCGGAGCCCTTAAAAGATTTTTTCCCTCCTACCTAGCAAGGACGAAGCCCGCATTGCAGGGTGTCTTGGTTGAACAGTTGCCTTAAAAGCTTTAGTGTTTAGGGTTTTCGGGCTTAGGGTCTTAACTGGAGATTTGGGCCGCAGGCAGCCCAGGCCTACAGCGCAGGCGAACAAGAGAGTATCCTTCTCCTGAGATGAAGGGTCTTTGTGAGGCTTAGAATCTTAGAAGAGATACGGGTAGGGACTGGGGGTGTGGTTTCGGATCTGACAGGGTTTTTAGATTTTCGACTCGTGCAACGAAGCAGGGATTCCAGCTAGGTCTGCGAACGGAAGAAATCACATCTGGAAGGAAGGAAGAGACCCTACAACAATTCCCAAGAACAAGTAAAATTAAGACCCCAACATACCAACAGAAACGAATCTTACTTCCCTCAAGCAGGTGGAGTGCTACACTCGCCAGCAAGGGTTCAAACACTTTGGAGGTTCTAGATAGGGTTCGGGGGTTTTGAGGTTCGGGCTTTGTTTGTTGCCTCCTACTCTATACTGAACTCAGAACCCTAGCACAAATTACAATTTTAGCTGTTTCTTAGGGATTATAATAACCAACCCCAAAGTACTTGTGGGGTGGAGAGGGTTCGGGCTTTGGGGAAACTTTAGGGCTGCCAGTGGGTTCAGCGTTCGGTGCTCCAAGAAATGTACCAAACCCCCCACAACTGCAAACCTTGCCTGAACCCTCGATCAGCGTCCCGCAAAACTATACATTAATCACCAAAGCCTGAACCCTAAAGGGTTTAGGGTTTAGGGTTGAACCCCAACCCTAAACCCTAAACCGATTGATCACTAAAGCCTGAACCCCAAACCCTAAAATCCCAAACCAAGGCTTGAATAGAGGTCTTCGGCTTCAAGTTCGAAGCTGAGCTGCATGGGGTCTCTAGGATTTTCTGCAGGTTGCTGGTATAGGAGTTTGCAAGTAGATACCCAGCAACTTAAATCATGCGGGTATTTCTTGTCTAAGTTCTTGCTCAGCTTTAGACCACTAGAAACAGAAAGGTATGGGGCACTACTGCAGGACATAGGATCCTGTCTTCGTGAACACCCACTTACAGTAGCAATTCGTAGGTCAGCTCGGGGTTGTGTTTGGGTTTTGAGACTTGGGATTATGTAGGTGTAAGTTCTTGCATATGCAGCAACCTTGTTATGCTCGTCCCTGTCTGTACGGAGGCACATGAACCAACAAGGTGGACAGGCAAGGGACAGGCAGAGGGAAAACAGAGATGCAGGCAAATACGGAAAGGCTACACGAACGCAAACAAACAAACATAAACACACACACACCCCTACACATCCGACTCGAGAGTCTTTCGAGACTCTCGTAAAGCCAGCGAAAGGCCGTCTAGAAGGCGAAAGTCCTGAGTGAAGCTTTAAGACCTTACCCCGAGAGCTCACTCGGCCGTGTGTCCGCAGAGGAAGGGAGCAGCTCGATTCGTCGCTCAAGCTGCGTCCAATCCTTAGAGACATCTCGGTGCTAATTGTTTCGGCTTAACAAACTATACTTAAGCGGTCCTACAAGCGATTCGTAGGATTTCTGTAGAAAATTATACAGGGGAGTGTATTTGCAGGGTTTGGCTTGGTCAAAGGTACATCGCCTGGTGTTTTGTGTTGCTGAAAAGGGGTGGTGAACGGTTCTGAGTTCGGGTCGGCAGAGTCCTGTGCTAATTCTTCAGAAATGTTGGACTCCCTGGTGAATAGTTTCGGCGCTCACACTCGGAAAGAGTTTACGGCTTTGGGTTCAAAACTTTAAAAAATCAAGTCGCAAACGAGTCGTCCCGAAACCCCTTTGACCCCAGCCAACAACCCTATGCAAATCCAAACCGCCGCGAACCCTGGATGTCAGGCTTTCGCCGGTGATCCCTGTCACCTGTACACAGAATATGTACAAAGAGTAAGTACAATGGGATTATATGTACATAGCACACCCCCCAGTCTGATGCTCATGATGTGGTAACATCGGAGGGTTGATTGCACCCGGGGGGCTGAATCACACCAACAATCCATTCAGGAGAAATGCTAAACTTACCATGTTGGATTTTGAGGGGTTAGCAGTATCCCGAAACAAATGAAAATTACTTGGCTCCTTACTTACTTACTCCTTTGCCAAGGAATAGCAACTTACGATCCAACCTACCCTGCCACTAAGAAGCAGATCAACCTGGGAACACATACCAAGTCCGAAGCTTTGACTGGGCGGAAACTTCGGCTAAACCGGATTTCCTAACATTGGAGGAAGGTATGGCAGCTGCATCTTTTTTTCAACAGCCATGCAAAAGCTGAATCTGCTTGATATAGACCAAAATGACCGAACACTGATACACCAAAAAAACTGAAGTTCTCCCTAGTGCAACCCACACCCAAAGACTCTAAGGAACCATGTATGTAAGTTTTTGGCCCAAAGGCCATACTATGCGACAGGGACAGAGAGACAGAGAAAGAGAGAGAGTGAGAGACATGGCCAGCAGTAAGTAACCTAAATGAAGAGAGACATGGATGGGTAGATCAGATAGACTGAGTGCTTGATTGGTAGGCAGATAGATGGTAGATAGATATGTAGGTAGCTGGGTAGGTGGGCAGATAGAGAAACAGATAGGCAGGTATCATGCGCACGCATATGCATGCATCCATGCATGCATGCATGCATGCATGTAGGTGTATATATGCACAGAACACTTGCACATGCATACCTGTGCACCTAGCTTCAGACAGATGGAACGAATACATATAAACGCATGTACCCAAAAATGTGTGTGCGTGTTTGCATGCAGATGCAACAACGCGTGTTAGGTTTGACTGAATCCCCTTGGCCCACTTGTCAAGGTTGAAATCCTGTTTTGGAACAGGCTTGCCGGATTCAGCCTGGAATAGCACACTCAGGGGAAAGGAACGGTTTTTTAATGCCATACTTTCCACTTCTGAGCACACAACAGCAATAATGGACCCCAATGAACAGTAGCGCTGTACAGGACGAGGGGGTCTGTCTGGAATCTTTCCAAGAGTATGTGAATGTGTATTGAAGTATTGTGAGGCATTGCAAGCACTAGGCATTGCACCTCATAGCGGCAAGACATCAATTCGCAACTGTACAAGGTTGAAGTCTGCCTTGCGGGCCTAGCTGCTCTCTCATACTGGTATATACCTTTATGCTCTGGCTTTCTTTGCCTGCGGGATGTCGTCAACGCGTGCCACTCCAGGCACCGGGGCATGCAGGAACACATGCTCGGGAGATGTGCCTGAGAATCCTGCTGCAGTGTGGCCAGCTCCATACATTCGGTATTTGTGGATCACCAAGCCTGGGTCCCACTTGGGAAAGGACCCGTTTAGGGACTCCCTCTAGAAGTCGTAGGAGGCCCAAACAACAAAAAACAAGAAGGAGACCTATCATTCACCAAGAGACCCTCAAGTCCGACGGGACCTCGTGCATGGATTCGATTTGTGGATATGCCCACCTCTGCTCCAAAGCCATAGCGGAAGCCATCGGCAAATCGCGTCGAGCAGTTGTGGTAGACACCCGCCGAATCTATCCGACTGAGGAAGGTTTCGGCAATCACGGGGTCTTCCGTCACGATGCTCTCCGTATGCCCAGAGCTGTGGCTGCTGATGTGGTCAATCGCTTCTTGGACAGAAGCAACTGCCTTGACAGCCATGGTGTGGCACAGGAACTCGGTGTCAAAATCATCTTCCGTCACTAGTTCGGAAAGAGCTGCAGGCAGACGAGGTAAACATGTCGCATCTGCCTTGTAATGCACATCCTCCTTTCCTTCCAACGCTGCCGCGAGCTTTGGCAGGAAAGATTGCACCACATCTTCATGTACCAAAAGTGTCTCCATAGAGTTGCACGCCGCACAGTAGTGCGTCTTGGAGTCGACGACGATTTTCACGGCTTTCTCCAAGTCCGCCTTGCTGTCGACATAAACGGCACAGATTCCGTCTGCATGGCCCATCACAGGAATGCGGGAGGCATCCTTGATAGACTTGACCAGCTCGTTGGAACCTCTTGGAATGACCAGGTCGATGTATTTGTCCTGCCTTAAGAGCTCCGCAACTTCTGTGCGAGTGTCAACCCCTTGAACGCAATCTGCAGGAAGGCCGACATCTTGCAAAGCTGCAGACATCGCGGTCACAAGGGCTGCATTGGATCGTTGTGCCTCCTTGCCACCTTTGAGGAGCAAGGCATTGCCGGACTTCATAGCCAGGGATGCAATCTGAACAGCGGCATCCGGTCGAGCCTCGAAAATGATGAGGAGAACTCCGATCGGACATGTCAGCCGGTATAAGTCCAGACCTTCAGCAACTTTGTTTGCATAGGTCACCTGGCCAAGAGGGTCTGGCAGGCTCAAGATCTCATCAATGCCCTTCAAGAGAGTGTCAAACTTGGCGCCACTAACGTCCAAGCGCTTGAAGAGCGAACTGGACAGCTTGCCTGCTTTGACGGCAGCTTCGGCCTCTGCCTTGTCCCGGGCGTTTGCCTCCTCGATCATAGCTCGATTCTCCACCAGGTGCTTCTTGAAGGCCGCTAAAGCCTGGTTCCTGAGGCTCCCGCTAGAACCTGCGAGGCTCCGACCGGCGAGGCGTGCTCTTTTGGCAACCTCTTCCATGGCTCAAGCTATGCTCAAGCGTGCTCGACTACGGCTTTGGGGAGGACTTCTTGCCAGGTTTCTTGAACCCGAAACGGCAGGCTTTGGAGTTTTAGAGACCGTCCGATTTTCCCGAACTGCTAAGTTGCATCTCTCACAGCGGTTTCTCAGGATCCCAAGAGCTTCAAAGTCTCCAAAATAACATGAAAGTTTCAAGTCGGCCTATCAAAGCTTAGCGCTTTCATGAAAACATGAAACAGGGGGCTTCATATGGGGTTTGTAGAGTTTGAGGCTCACTTCTCGCCTGCCGTGTCCCTAGACCAGCATCCATTTCTGTGCCAGGAAACGCCCAGCTGCCCCTCAGCACTCACCTCCTGCATCAGGACCTCCGCACGACTGAAGGTTCGAACGAGGGTTTTTTGTAAACTTGCCAAACTAGGCTTTGAGATCTTTTCGGTATTTCAGCCACATTCCTGCGACAATATTCTGTGGGAGGACTGGAGGGTGCTGCTGTGTGGGCCACGCAGGGCCTCGGCGCCTTCTTGTCCCTCGGACCTTCAGGTTGTAAGTTTCACGTGGCTTCCTTCGAAGGTTCTCAGAATGCCTTGGGCCTGGAATGCGTTTCGCGCATGATTTAGGGCTCTTCGTGGACCCGCCTTGATGCAAATGTCAAGCCCTCACAATTGTGTCAAACCTTTGCCCTAGTCATCTAAGAATCCAAGCTTTCTTGGCCTATGGTCCTATATAGTATACTACAAAAATGTTCAAACAACCGAAATCCTTAAATCTATTGCAGCTAGGTAATACCAGGCACCATTTTCTTAACTTTTGCAGGTGCCTGATTCAGGGATCTCGCAATACAAGGATCCACAAGCTGAAGTCTTTTGTACCAGAGTTCTGGAATTTTTTGAACATGGCAGGTCCCTTAACTCGATGGGGTCTTCGCTGCCGCGCCTGGAGCTTCTGCAGATCGGGTTGACCGAGGTCACCTTGGCTCGCCGCGATGTTTTTGACAGTCTTCGACGGGAGTTCAGATTTCACACTTCCAGGAGATTGGTTGTGATTGTGGGGCTGCAACAAAATAGTACAAACAAAACGTCGACGAATTTGAATAGGGTTCTCAGTCGGGCTATTCTAATGTCCTTCCTGACGTATCCTGAAACTGCAAACACTTCTTTCTCAGATTCCGAAGTGGCACAGGTAAGAAGGCCCTGAACGCCATGCCATCGAAAGCTAAATCCTGTACCTTTAGAACCCTAAAACTCAAAGATAAACCGATATTCCACGGCAACTAAAACAAGAAGTCCGGGTAGCAGTGATGGTAGGACACAAAGATGGCCAGCCTCCGATGTCACAAAGGGGCCCTCAAACGTTCGAAATTAGGTCCGGCAATCTGCGGGTTTTCCGGGTGCAGTGGGAGTTCTACAGCCATGTTTCAGGCTGTGGCCAAACTCAATTGGCAAAGAGACGCTGCTGCTACGTCGGCTGCTCTGGTTTCTGCTCTCCTGCAGATTCCAGTTTGTTTGCTTATTGCAGGAAACTGTTGCTTGATGATTGTTCTGGCCGTTCTAGGGGCATGGATGCCCATGGTATTCTGACGAAGAAACAGGCACAAAGGACTGTTAAACCCCATGGTCAACATAGGCTTACTGAGCCACTGAAAATGTGCCCAACGAGACTAGGAAGACGCTAGGAAGTATATGGTACCCTGACGAATGAACCGCAAGGATGGAGAAGAGAGCCAACGCTCTGCTACCCCGTCATTTCCGACATCGGTTTTCTTTGCCAGTGCTAAAAAGGGCACAACGAGCTTTTACCGGAGTGTCCAGAATCATCGGCCCTGGTGTTTGAACCTGCCACCTTTAGAAACTCTTCCTTACAAGAAACATCCGTCAGCCCACGAGATTGCAAAAAACATATTGGTTTCTTCGCTGTTCTCCAGGATATAGCAAAACTGTCACATGCATGCGAAAGGCACTGGCTTATGTAACATACACACACACATATATATATATATGTGTGTATACACATGTAAATACACATATGCATGCATGCATGCATGCATCTTTGCAGGCATGAAGGTATCATGTATGTTGGCTTGTAGGCAGGTAGCCATGTATGTATGCATGTGTGTGTATGTATGTCTGAATGTACGAATGAATGCGGGAATCTATGTGTATTACGTGTATCAGTACGTGTGTATGCGCACAGACACGAACACGCAAAGAGCTCCACAGGCAAATACCCCCAAACCAAAGAGTCAAGTGTGCAGTCCAGCAGCGGGCTCGCATCGCAACCGATGGCTTCTTTCCCCTCGCTGGCTATGGGACAGAGAGCTTCTCGGATGTAGGACCCATGTAGGATAGTCGGACAAAGCCAGATAATTCAGACTCGGACCCTCTCAAGTGCTCGAGTTCCTTGAAGATCTTCATGCAAAGATCCCTCTTCCCGAAAGCCAACTCTGGTATAATGTGCAGCCAGGCTGCAGCAGCCAGGGCTTCGACAAGGACAGCACCTTCTCTTGCTCTTTGGGTCGAAGGTGTTTGTGGCTTTGTGAATTTTGAGCAACCTGAATCTCTTGGAGGTGTCGACCGACTTCATTATGAAGCTACAGTAGCCTTGGAACGCAAAACTTAACTGAACTTGTATTTGGCAGAACTTTGGGTTTTGAAGCCTACCGTGGTGTTCCTTTCTTGTTTTTGGCGGAGGCGAGGGCAGAGGCATCTTACTGGGCAGCGGTAGGAGAGGGCTTTTGGGCTCCAGCACGGGGTCCCCACATTCAGGATCCGGTCACTTGCAGCATGTACGGGTTGCGCACAGCACCCTGTAGCGACGAGTCCGCCCAGGGCGCCTGAGCCGCAAAAGGGATCCAAGATCGTCTTGGCCCCCGGAACAGCGTCCAACATAAGGCGCACCTTGATGTACAGCAGCACTGTTGAAATGCGGTAGAATGAGCATTAGGGCTTGGACTCGCGGCTGTCGGGTTAAATGTTATAGGCTCTAAACCTCACCCAAAGGAACCTGTGTCGAAACCCTACTTCCCTAGACGCCGGCTTCAAGATTTCGGGATCGGCCTGGTTTTTCTTCCTTACGAGTCTGTGGTTTCGACGCTCACACTCGCACAAGGCTGGCAAGGCTCCAAATAGTCCAACGTCTGTAGTTTAGGTCTCGGATTCCCGGGTTAAGCGGTTCGCGACTTGGGAAACCGGTGCAATCGTTTGCACGTTATAGCTCAGGGCTGTAATTTCTCGACTTTGTTTGCAACAGCAAGAGCCTGAAGTAAACGAATCCCCTAAAGACTCTGAAGCCTACTTCCTTGGCAGCACTGCCTAGCTCAACCTTGCACCGCCACAGCTAAGTACTTGGATCCTTTTAGACTTTCGAGTCTTCAGCATCTCCTTGGGTCCCCTGCGGTCATGGGTTGCATGCCGGAGAGATACCTGATGTGTCGCCAGGGTGTCTCAAGTGTAGGATTTCGGCGTCCAGCTTGTTTCCGGAAGGGTTTGAGCTTCGGATTTAGGGATTGGTTCAGGTCGGGTTCTTCTTGAGGCCCAGGATGCAATACAAGCGCATGGGGATCCCACGAAGCCTCAGAGAACTTCGACGTTGGACAACCGGCAATCAGACGTGGGCTTGCCCAGAACAAAACAGGCAACCTCAACAATCTGAGATAGCTAGCCCCCAAGCTTTGGGTCGGTGGACCAATCTTGATGCCAACAAAAGCCTAAACACCCTAAACCCTAAAAGCCGCAAAGACTCTGAACACTCTAGCAAATCCTTGCAAAGTCTGGCAAATCCCGATCAACAAAAAAAGAACCGAAAACCTCTAACAAGCCCAAGTGAAGGCCGCCAGGGTGCTGGTAGGTGCCGTGAGTGAGCTGAGGGAAGCCCGGGGCAGCCCTAGCGCAATCTGCAATCACCATTGCATACAGACTTACATATACATAAGTGTACATACATGTACATATTGTACATATACATATACAAATACATATACATTTACTCATACGTATACTCATACGTATACATATACGTATACTCATACACATACGTATACGTATACGAATACATATACATGTATGTGAGTGTGTCCACATACCTGCGTTTCTTTCTACGTAGAAGGAGCTGGTCTTAGGGCGTATTTTGTCTATTCTGTGTTCCCGGGCCTTCTGTAGGGTCTAGGGTAAACGGTGTTGTCTTTGGTGCTTTACCGCTTCGGGATTTTGCCTGATACAGGACTGGAAAGCTGTTCGTGATGCAGAGTAGACAGGACTCTGGAACACAGGGGCGGCCCGAGATGAAATACCTGTCCTACTTGCGAAATACTATACAAGATTGCTGTGAAAGCCCTGTATCGTTAAATTGCTTTTCGGTATCGGGATCTGTCTGTTTTGAACGAATATGCGACTCGCAGCACAAGCTAGGACACGAGGTACTGTGCGATAAGATCGTACCCTAATTTTCGGATACCATGGATACCAAGTAAGCCTTGTGTTGGATATTACGTATACATGTTACATGTTTACCCTGAGGTCTGTGCGCAAATATATGCAATACAGACAGCCTTTAACCTGTGCCCTCCCTTCCGACTTCTCAGGATGTGCCTTCTGTCCGAAACTTTTTAGGAAGTAATTAGGGTTCAAAGCGTGCGAATTTCATTGTTCGGGATCTTGATGCTGAGAAATAGTGGTATGAGTGAGTCTTTGCAATGCTTAAGTTGGCTTCGGCCCAACAAAAGGGGCATCTACTAGTGACTGCTGTTATGCAGCAGGGTTGCTGCTGCTGCTGCTGCTTGACGCCAAACTCACTGCTGCAAGTCTTCCCAGCATAGTACAAGTCTTTCTTGGGTCCTTACGTGTTGGTGGCAACACCTTCGCCCTAACATGAGCCCCAAATCCCAAAGCCCTGCCTGAACTGAAACGCTTCGGCCTTTGACAGCCCTACCCCTTGTTACCTTGACCCGACACCGTAAGGACAGCAGACCCCTGTGACCAAAGCTACGCTAACCTTTGCCATACAGGAAAAGCCCACTTTGAACCCTCAGTGGCTTTCATTGTCTAGCCTGCCAGTGTGCGGCACGGAAGCTACGCGAATCCTACCCCACGAACCTGCAAAGCAGGAATCCAAACCCCGAACCCCGGCGCCCCGCGGACGCCTCGGATAACCTTGCACTGCAGGGCGCTTGGAGAGTCCGAACTCTAAACCTCAAAATCCTGTCCTCTAATAAAGCACAGCACAGCATACAATCGCGTACTGTCGCGTAGCACATGGTCTTAAACCTATGTGCCTGTGCCTTAAATGGATCTCGACCTTCTGCTGTCTAGGCTTCTGCTGTCTAGGGATCTGAGCGCAAGTCAAACCCAAAGAGAACCCAGTACCTTCCGATGCACGGATTAGGGCTTGGATCGTACTGAAGTCCCGGTATTGTCGCATAAGGACTATGGGGGGGATATCGGCACTGATATTTGCACACTTCCGTTTCGACCCTTCCGGCCTAACCCGATTCTCAAGTGCAAGCCCTTGTAAGTCTATAAGGATTAAGGGATCGAGGAAACATGATTACGCGTACTATAAGGAATAGTTGGTTTAAAATCTAGGGCTATGGGGCTGAACCTGAATGCCAGGAACAAACTCGCACACACAACGATATACGCATTACTCTACAGAATGGTATCCAAGCCATCCATGCAAAGTCGTGCCCAAACCGGGACTTTCACCACGTATACTGTAGCATCACCCTATAGTATTCATCTGGCTGGATCCTTGTGTGGGAAACGCAGTTTGCTCACCAAGTTATCATAACAAGGGATATCACACAGAGGAATATCATCTCGTTCTGAACGGACATTGGACTACACATGATGGATTACGTTCCTTAACAAGAACCTAACCCGATCCCCGTGCCAAGGAGCCGTAGATCCACTGTGCCTCCAGGGCCTTCTGCAAGAGCTCGACCAGTTTTGCATCCCCACGGCCACGGAAACGATACAGGGCCTAGGCCAGTTTAGGATGTACCTGAACCGACCGTTCGTTTCATTAGGGTTTCCATGCTAAGTTAGCCGGTTAAAGGTATATAGATATATAACATTATATAACTATATAACCATGCATGTATGACTTTGGCTCATCTACCAGGAGATAGCACTTTTCATGAAACAGGCCCGTTTAGTAAGGCTTCGTTCCAAAGGGCTACCTGGTTGAACGCTCTGACAAAGTGCACAAGATGTTTTCCGTGGATGCTCGTTTAAGCGCTCAGCATCGTCATGTGCCGCAACATAATGTTTTTGCCCGCCTGTTTATTTACTCACCGTGAAGATATTCGCCATAATTCGTCACATAATCTTTGCTTTTCCTCTCCAGAGTAGTTGAGAGTGATCGGTTGATCTGAACGCAGGTTCCTTGCATGCATGGTGCAGATGTCTGCTTTTTAAAGGGCCTTCCTACATAATATGTATGGTGACCCCTACGAAGACAAGGAGGGCCCCACAATCCACCTGAAGGCAGGAATCCTGACAAATTTGCTCATGCCACTTCTCTGGTGCATTCAAAATCCCACAAATCTTGTTATTAAATCCTGGAACCGAAACCTCACTGCCTGCAGACCAGCTGCCCTTCTCAATGGGCTGCCGGTCCTCTCGCAAGGATGGGCACTCAGGGTGTATGGCTGGCAGCCTTGCAGTTCAGCGTCTACTGGGGCTTGAGGTTCCGGAACCAGCGCCCGGAACCGCAGAAAGGGATGTGCGGTGTTGAGGGCTCCAATTTGGGTCCGTGCAACCTTCAAACACGAACCACAAGCCCTCAACTGCCCTCAACGCTAGTGAACACCAAGTCCCTACCTGAAAACCGAACAACGTCTTCCGGCAGCCTTGATGGTGAATCTGCTGCAGCAACTCGGACAAGCAGCTCCTGCTGCCGGAGGCTCCCACCAGGTCATATCATATAGGGGTCAGTAATGTATGGTGGTCTGGATACATAGAGGAATCCCGTCGACAAGGATCCCACTGTTTGGGAGACACACAAATCTCGTCACGATTACATACTGGGACCAGTTACTAGGACAATAGGCCGTAAATGCTGCATCAACCTGGCTGCCGCTGCCTCTACATTGTCGCTAGAACCTGTCATCACCACTCCAAACTTCAGAAGGAGACTGTAGTTGTCTTGAACACTTCATTAGACATTGATCTGTCAGGCCCATATCCCTACGCGCCACGAAGTCCGGGACGCGCTCTGCAAGGGGGCCGGGGCATCCTAATCATTCCCAGTGCTAAGATCCCCCATCCCTGAAGTCCTGAATCCTAACGCCCGGCATCCCCGAAGTCCCGAGACTCAAGCCTGAACCACAATGGCTTCGGTGCAGATTCTTAAACCCTTAAGCACTTATGAAAGATGTCCCAAACCCTATCTAATCCTGCAGAGTACGGGCGTCCGAAAGACGTCCCAAACCCTAAAACCTATTTTTAACCCTGCAGAGTAAGGGCCTCCGAAAGACGCCCCAAACCCTACAGCCTAAATCTGACATTGAACTCCCAAAACTTCCAACACCCGGCAACCCAGTCTTACATCCTAATCTCCGAAAGCCATTCGATCTTCTCATTCCCGTGCAAGCCGTTAAGCCTTGCATGGCCCTGAAACCATCCAAGTCAAAGAAAACCTTTACTGGAACCGTAACTGTCAAAAACGTAATCCTAAAAAGCCCACGTAAACCCTGGAGGACTCGTCGGAAACTTCCCGGACCAGCCTTCGGGATCGGCAAGCCATCCTGGCGGCAGCGTTCTCACGAAAAATCACTTGAATGAGCCCCTTAAAGGATTCCTTTCTGGGTTTCGACTCACACTCTTACTGAGCTTGCTACTTGCTCTTTCTGGGTTTATAGGGCTCAGGGTCTCTAGAAGATCCCTTACAGGAGGGTCCCGAGACGGCGGTCTCAAGGAACTCGCTGTTGAGGCTTCAGGGTGTAGGGTGTTTTGAAGCAAGGGAATTAAGAATTCGGGGCTTGACTCTTTTGCGCGGGTATTTTCTCCATTATTAACTAAGTACCCTGCAGGCGAGAGCAGAAAGCAAAAGCACCAAACCCTGAAGCCGCAAAGCCCCAACACATCGAACCCCAATCCTTGCAAACCTTGGTAGCCTAGAGCCCTATCTATTCAGGATTACTCTTAAAACCCTGCATGAACCCTATCCTGTATCAAAACCACAGACTTAAAACATGCGGATAATATGTCATATCATATCTATTATGGGAAATGAGTAGTCATCAAAATACTTCATGTAAGGGGCGAAAATACCCCGAAACACCGTGCACCTCGGAGAGTTCCAGCAACCGCTGCTCTGCTAAATTAGGCTCTTCGGTTCTCGCGAAGGCCTTCAGCACACCTGGTAGAGCTTGAGGGTTAAGTGGAGTTAAGGCCGTTCGGGCGTTTAGGGCTTAGTGGGTTCAGGTCTTTGACGATTTTGAGGGTTTGGGAGATGACAACAACACAAAGCGTAGCGGGGTTCCGAGCTTCGGGGTCTGCGGGGCTTCGGGGACCAGGGCAATTCAGGGCCTTTCTGCTTGAAGTCAAGGGCTTAAAAGGCCTTACTTGGGACGGCTGTTTCCTCGCCGTGGGACTTTCGGGGTTGGTGCTTTAGACTAGGGCCTCTTTCTGCTTAGGTTTGCAGGTTTTCGAGGCTTCGGGATCTCGGGGTCTGTTTTGCTTCCTGCGGTGCAAGGACAACTCAAGGCATAGTAGGGATGTTCAAGAGCTCAACACCAAGGGTTGAGGCCGATAGACTTTCCGCTTGTTATGTCATCCACCTCTCGTCCAGCAGACATCGGCTCTCATGGCGACATCGGGGTAAGTTTGGTGCGTAGAGTTGCTCATTTTGGTCTTCGGGATTCAGCCTTCACGTGCTTTAGCGCTTGCGGGGTTGTAGTTTCGAGCTCCCCTCGCCTGCCGATCTGCCTCGCTGCTGGCTTCACACTTGAGGTTGCAATGCTGGAACCATGCAGCCAGCGCCGCATGTCGTTCTCTCTACCAGGACTTTAACCAGAAAGCACATCCGAAGGCAAAGCCATTGAAACTCAATCCCTTAAAGACCGAGAACCCCTGAGCCTTATCACTCCAAAGCCTTAAGGGCCACAAACCTAACGCCGTCCGGCGGCTGCCGGTCGACATGGCCGTTGGCTCCAAGCTCCGGCGGCGCATCTCTTGCAGAAAGTGCCAAGCCTCGGGGATGAGGCGATGTCGGAGGAATGAAACGGCTTTGAAGGTCTGGGCTTAAGCGTTTGGAAGCGTTTCGTCTCGGGACCACGAGAATGCAGTTACACAGCCCATCTGACATGTCCAACGTCCAACCCATGCATGTGTACGAGCTCACTTGAATATGTAGCAAAATATCTCGCATTTCGACTTCGCGCAATTCAAAGAAGGCAGGAGGATCCTCACAAGGTCCGATGCGAGACTACAGTAGCTGGTTATCATTGCTGATGCGCACATCCAGGTCATGTAACAGCAGGGCTGGCGTCTCTTTTTGGTCATTCCAACTTCGCGCAAGCATTTCTTTCGCTCGCTCCCTTCCCCCAAGAGTCCAAGCATCTGATAATCATATACTCTCCAAAATCCTAACTTACATAACTACTATCCTAAAACCGAGTACCTAATTATTGGATCCTTTGGACCCGTGGGGTTCCAGAATCTAGGCTTTGGAAACCTTCCCAACCCCCAGAGTAGCGGCCTGCTCGGCTTTCCCGTCCTCTGCACAGGCGTTGATGACACCTGGTTCGGTCTGCTAGGATTTCGGGTTCAAGACATCCCAATGCATGAAATCTTTGCAGTGCCCTTGAAGCAGCTGGTGGCTTCTACTTATGCCTATGTTGAATATATTCCGCAGAGTGTGGTGCTGTGCTCGCTTCGCTCCCATAGACACTCAACTACAAGGTAGCAGAAGCCTTCAAGCTCAGAGGGGCGATGGGTAGGATTCACTTTGTGCCGACTGCTGGCCTCGGGTCCCAGGCTTAAGGACTTTGGTGCATGTGGAAACAGTCATGCCCTGGACTCAAAGAGCTTCAGCGTTACGTCTACGGACCCGTATCGACATGGTCACGGAAGTGGGCGGCCGACAAAACTCGACAAGGCCTGCACTGCCAGATTTTACTGCTGCTTCTTCTAAAAAGCGAGGGGCAGAATGAAAAGACCTAGCCCTCAAAAGAACAGAACAAGGTGCACATGTGCACACACCCACACACACATACACAAAAGCAGGATCCTAAACCCCAGAACCCGCAAACGCTACAAGGCTTCCCGACTTGGGCTTCTTTGGTCTTGCAGGGTCAGGTGTGCTGTTCTAGGTTCAAGCAGCGATTGTTCCAGATGGCAACTCCCAGCACATCAGCAGGAACAGGCAAGCCCCAAGGCCTTCAAGAACAGTGACCCAAAACGAGCCGAAACCGTGAAGTTTTTTGTTGCCAAGATGCTGTTGAAGGTGACTACGTCTGCCTGGCCACATTATTTAGATATATCCCAAATCCCTTCAGCGATCTCATGTTCAGGGTGCGCATTCATGATTCAGTGCCCTCTGTTTTCTTGTCCAGTTATGTCGTGTCGCTCTTTCACTTTTTGTCTGCGGTTTGTTGTTTTCCTTTTACGTCCCTAGATGGTGGCCTCCCGACTTGTCTGTCGGGCTGCAGGTGCATGGTTTTGCATGCGGTCAGGATCGGCCTGGACTTTAAATCCTGGAACCCTGAGCCTTGAAACAAAAGGGCGGGGTGTCCTACAACACCTACAGATCTGGTATGTAGTCAACTACTGATGTAAATCATGCGTCTATCGACACGCCGGTGTCTTTAGTAACATTTGCACACACGCAGGTTCAAGCAGCTAAGCCTTCTTTTTGCCACTGGGCTCAAGTATGGCCAAACCACAACTTCCGATGCCGGTAGCTACCCCTACGCCCAAAACCCACATAATTCGACCCCAAACCTAAAGCCGCAACCCCGGAACCCGTGGACCGAACTCTCAAAGGCTTAAAGGATCGTAAACCACTACACAGTGGTGCTTGCATCTTTAGACTTACTATTTATTAGATATAGAAGCTTGACAGACAACACGTAGAGTTTCAGGAGTTTGTTGATTGTCGGACATGTTTTCGGAATCCACCAAAAAAATGACCACTGATTCAGCTCTGCATGCTAGGCATCCCGCAACGGCATACCTGGGATCCTTCCGACCACGCTTAACCTTTTAGCAACTGAAGCCCCAACCCCTGGGCCCTAGACCTTGAACAACACCCACATATAGAACATCTAGAACTGTTTTGCCTGATGAGGGGCTGCATAGTATCTCAAGCCTGTAACCTTATACCATAAACCTTAAACCAAAAAAGAAAAGGCCACATGTTCCAACCTGAACCTCGCGCTGGCCCATGACCTCCAGCCAGTAGATCGCTCCTGGGTGTCTCTCATGGTTGATGCTTGTACAGCGGCCGCTGCCATACTTAGACAAGGGAGTGGAGGCTTTCTTGGAAGGGCATTATGTGCGGACTTTACGCAGGTCTTGATGTCCTAAGTATTCAGACCTCTGCCCTGTACCGGCTCTTTACTGGAGTGTTTCCGGATTTTAGGGGCACTGGGGGTTAGTGTTTCGCCTGTTTAGGTCTCGGGGTGCTTAATATTACTCGGGAACTAAAGCCCTCACCGCTAAGGAATATTGCTACATAGTATAATCTAAAGCCTGTATTGCATTAGAACCCTAATGCAACTTCAGCATAGCATAGAGCAAATCGGGGACTTGCCTAGGCACGGCTTGGTTGTCGCGATAGTTGTCACAAAGAGCCTCGCGATAGGGCATGATGTAGACTGCGGGCACAAAACCTACAGTGAGCCCTTCGGCCAAGCCTGCAAATGCAGGCTATCTCTGCCGATCAAAATGTACAGGCTGCAGATCCACACCATACTACACCGGTAGGTTTTGGGGTTTCGACGGCTGTGCCGCTTCGCGGCCCTAAAAGGCGTACAGTACCCGGACTAGACAACAAACATAAACATAGTGGGAAGGGTTCTTGCTTCGGGTTCGGGATTAAAGGCCAGGATTGAATGTAAATCCAGGCGTCGATTCTTGGAGATGTCAAATGGACTTCTGAGGGGGCATATCGTCTTCTTTCTTGTAGCCTACCGTGCATTTTTTGCACCTTTTACTCCTTACCCATACCTGTTTCCCAAAGCGCCCTTCGCCCTCCTATGCAGAATGCCTGGAGTGCGGCTATGTGGCGTGAGGCACACCCACATCGCGCACAAGCGTTGATGACCTTCGAAGGCTCAGAGAAGGGATAAGCGAGCCAAAGCACTCTAGACTCCGATATAGGCTGCACCTACCTAGACCGGACACATGACCCTTGCGACAGAAACCGCAACCTGTGCTATGTAGGCGCTTAGGATCCTTCGTTTACTTGGTTTTAGGCTGATTACTGACAGAGGCGTACTGGACTCATGCAATCCAACCCAATGACTACCGCAAACCCGAGAAGGTTTCGGGATCCTTATGTAAATTTCGCCCTGTTTTGCCCACACCCCATTATGACCTTTCAACCCGTAAGTCCTATAGACTCAAAGCAGATCCAGGCAGCTCCATTGAAGCTCATCAAATCCGGCCGCAGGTTCATGTCCGTCCTGCTGCAAGAAACGTGCAAAAGTTGAGGATTGAGGCCTTTGCTGGGCTTGGGGTACCTACGGACCTATGGTCTCTACAGGTCAGGTCAAGAGCGAGGCAGGGCAAGAGGCGTGAAGTAGTAGCTAAAGGCGCTTGTAGCCGAGCCGCGCCCTTTCCAGCCACTCTTCCGCTCTCTTCAACTCGCCAGCTTGGGAGCACGCATTTATCACACCTGGGATGGGGCACGCAGGGCTCAACACCAAAAAAACAAACTGGGCAGGAAGGGGGTGTTGGGGGCAGGCACTGTTCTGTGCACCACTACCAACACCGCTGCCGCAGTCACACGCATCGGCACACTACTCCACGAAGTGCAAAAATAGTGCCACAAGGCACAGGGCTCATGATGTGATGCCAAGCCGAAGAGGGGGATGTCATGTTGCGAGGTTCAGAACTAACATGAAACGATGCAGTAGGAAGCTAATTATTGCAGGGCCCCAAAGACCTACTATCATAATCCAGAGAAGCAATCGAGACTTTCCCCTTCCCCGAACAGGATGAAGAGGCACCAAACCGAAGACGCGCTCATGCTTCGACTAAGTACTGTCCCTCGAAAGGGGGGCTATTGCCCAGCAACAGCCGGAACAGTTGCTTAACTGTTCTCCGACATCGGTACCTGTGCTCAAATATACTCAAACCCTTCTTTACGGCCCCATTTCCGGGTTGGCGGTAAGATCCGTCACCAAAAGAACGCCGACTGGGTAGTATTGGGTTCCATGGTAGCTTCCTTCGTGGGATCCACCCGGACTTCTAAGACTCTCGAGCACATTTGATCCCTAAGAGCTGCATTCCTAAGGCCGTACCCTGGAGCTCTAGAAGGACCCAGTAAAATGCTGGAGCTGTTGTCCTTACCATACCCAGGCTGTATGTGGTCCTCGGTTTTGCTTGGCGACTTCAGTTTTACCTCTGCATCGTCCGCATGCAGGTCTCGGGCATAAACTCTGAACCCTACGGCATCCTTCACCGCACGTCTGGGAAGTCAAAGACGTGCGAGTAACAATAGCAGTGCTCCCATCCAGCGCCCCTTTACATTATACTGAACTGTCACGCACACCAAAACAAAACTCTAAGCGGGCTTGAAGGCCGGGTATTATCCGGGCTTTGGCTGCAAGCGGCTGTTCAAAACAACGATGTTCGGCGACAGCTGCAGATTTTTCAGCTCCCGCAGGCACTCTTCCGCACCTTCCGCTTAACGTTGCTTAATGCTTTTTGAAGGCTGTTCAGTACGATGCAGGGTGCCACATTTTGATCTTGCAGTTTTTCCTTGTTAGTGCTCGGCCTTTTTCTTGTTTACCTTCGGGACAAAACCTGCGTGGCGGTTCAGGAGTCATGACTTTTCGGGTATGTATATATATATATATATATATATATATCAGGGTGCAGCCGCCACCTGCGCCTTAACAGCAAATAATTGGTTTTTGAACTCCAGCCGCTTGATCGCCCAATCTCCCAATAGTTGGTGCAAACTAAAGAGCAGCCTGTGGTTGGACATTGAACCTTGTTGGTTGGTTTGCACACCCCCCCAACCTACTAGTAGCAACACCGAGTCTTCTTGTGGACTGCAGACGAGCTCGCGAAGAAGTCCTTTAACTGAGCCTGTCGCACTTGTTGATGGATGGTAGCAGCACACTCGACATGTTAGACACCATGTGCCTAAAGGAGTGGCAGCATGCTAGGACAGAACGCATTACACACACCTACATTCTGGACTTCTCACGAAACCCCAAAACACGTTGATACTCCAACGGCCGCGATGAGAAACGATGGGACAAGTGACGTATGAATCGGCCCTGCTTGGCATTGGCGTTCGCCAGATTGCCTCTTTGCAGTGCTGGCGACGCAGTCTAGTTACTTTTAACCGATGCGCAACCACAACTTCAAGAGTACGGCATACGCTCGAAAGTGTGGGCCATTCAACTACAACCGGAAATCGAAACAACTGGTTCAACGGCAGCTTGCCCAGCGTCACGATGTCGGGCGAGAGCCCTCGTTGTTGCATCTTCTCGAACCACACATGGGCTTGATCCGCCTGGCTATGCGCTTAGGGCCTTAGATTGAAACGTTTTTTCCCTCCTACTTTTAGGGCTTCAGATTCGGGCAACTGTCGGGATTGTCAGGAGTCGAAAGGAATCAAACCCCACATGTCCAAAAGCAAGCGAGGCCCCTGCGTTATCATCATTACCTCATGATTATGGTTATGACCAGACAACCCCCGGATCAAGTGTTTACCAAGTGACACACGGAAGCGCAGGGATGACCAGCACAAAATGCACCCATGAAAAGAGCAAACACTCAAAACGCGCAAACTTCCAGAACACTTTAGGAAGTCGTAGCCCCAGATTCTGCAAGATGCGTGATCCAGTGTGTAGGTCACTCTCGCACCTTTTAAATCTGGTCGTCTTCCTGCTAAGATCAGGCTCCCCGTGTTTCGGATTGGTATTGCAGTGCTTGGGGCTTCTGTGAATTTGAGACTTGCTGCTGCAGTTCCCAATTTCTGTAGCTGTAGCATTTTTGGCATCCCGACTTGTCCGCCTCCCCAGCGACAGCACACCTGAGCTTGTCGTTGGAATGAAAAATACGATTGCCGACCACTGAATCCTCATAAAGGAAACATAACGACGGCTGTTAAAGTAAGTGCCCCGACCTCTACATTTAGCAAGCTCTGGAGTTGGGGATACGGCACAGTCGGCAAAACATATACTAGCCTGTTCAAAGATGACCAGTAAGCGTAACCCACTGCAACAGCTACTGGGCTGCTAAATAGGGGATCCTGACCATGTTACGGGCAAGAGTTTGCAGCCGCGATCTCGTCTTCTCTGAAACCAGGAATTACAGGTGCAAGATCAGGTGTAGCACTGTCTCGCCCCCCCGCGGTTGATGATGGCTTCGAAACGACGGATTCCACCTTTCTCAGTCCGGTGTTGGGATTCGGGTCTTGACGGTTCGTAAACAAAAGGGTTAGGGTTTCGACGTTAGGTAGGAGCACACATGCCCGACCTTCCCGCGTAAAAGTCTGCATGCCGCAGCACCCCTACAATCACACTACACTCAACGGTAGATAAAAGTACTTTTGCCGGCATCTGTTTCTTTTGAGGTGGAAGTGCAACCCGAAACCCCTAACCCCCACTCTGGCAACCCTTAACATAAGCCCTGTAAAGACCTACCGCGCAGTGGCACGCCCTCCAATGCCGAACATGAGCAGTCAGCCACGGTGCGATTGCAATATCGTGTTGAACATCGGAGTGCTGAGGTGCAGCCCAACCTCAATCCTGAGAAGGCTCTGACTTCGATGCTTGGCGGCTCTGTTTTTTTGGATTCTAGGGCTTCTCAACACGATTTCAAGGCTTCGTTTTATGGTCTGTGGATTTGGGGTTGAGGACAAGTCTCGACCACTCGGCATAACGCTTCGAACGTTGCAAGCTTCCGAAAGCAGGTTCAAGTGCACGGGGTCTAAGAGTCTTCGGGCTAGAATCCTACAGCCATGCCACTGTATTGCATCCGGCTTTGTGCTGCACAGTTCACATGGGCAGTGCTGGAACTGGTTCCTGGCCGAAGGATGGAAACAAACACCGTGGTTCGCACTGGGAGCAAGTTGAAGGGTCTGATAGTTTCGGGTGCAAGGTGTAGTGCAACTACGAATTCCGGCATGAGCTTGACAGGATCTTCCTGAGTCTGCCGTGCCGAAGCTCTGCTCGCTTGCCACACCGAGTGTTGCAGGGAGGGTATCCGGTTATCGAAGCTTCCGAAACCCTAAACCTTAAAATACTAGGTCGAAGCCCCGAACTGCTCTAGTGCAGTGCGATTCACACTCTTCCGCCAGGCTTCGCTCTGTTCATCCAGCGCTCTGCCCCAGCCAGATTTGCTTCCTTTGCCCATGCCTCCGCCGATTTTCAGCGAACAGTCAGCTCTTCTACGCCACGGATCAGCACTCGAAGCCAGCTACTGTACGCGTCGGTTCTCTGTATTTTGGACGTCGGGTGCCTATCACAGTGGGGCCGCAAGACTTTCGAGCTTCGGTGTCCGCTCTACGATAGTGTAGATCGGACTGGCATCACTAACTACCGAGGATACTTGAAACCCAAACACTCTTGCGGGAACTAGACGTGACACTGTTTGGGGGCTCAGATGGGTTCTTAAGGCTTCTCGCTGGTTTCATAGGGCTTCGTTCAGGTTCTGTGGGGGGTATGTGTGTATACATACAAAAAAACATACATATCATGTATCTCTGTGTGTGTGTGTATGTGTGTGTGTGTCGATGTGTGTGCGTGTGTGTGTGTGTGTGTGCGTGCGTGTTTGTTAACCCTTTCTGAAATCGTTAGGCTTTCAACTCGACAAAGCCCAAGGTCCGGCAGCTACCGGTGCATCCCAGGTTTGCATGGGTCCATAATGCTACTGCTACATCTGCTGGACTCGCCGGGCTGTTCCAAGCCATCAGACTGAAATGACACAGTGTCCAACGAGATTGTTTACAAGGGCCTCCAAGTCCATGCAACTAACATACGTAAGCATTAGAATAACTTAGGATGCCAATTTAGGCCCTGCTTGGAAACCCAGTGCCCTCGGAGTGTGTGGATCGATCCTTTAAGGGCTTTCTGGGTGCAGTTTAGGGCTGAACTTGGGATGACAGAAGATCCGTTCCCAAACCGCTCAAACACCACATGCAACGGCAACCACCGAAGAGGACGCTGCGACTGCGACGAAAGGCTCCGGTACCCAACCCCCATATCGCAAATGTAAACCCCAAACGCTTACTTTTCATGCGTCTTCAGGCAGACCCACCAATGTAAAGTACCGTGCCCCCTTGGGGCTCTCCATGTTTGGCCTTCATGACCGCACCATAGCAGGCAGCATCTGGTTGAATCTTGAACCTTAGCTCCAAAAGCGGCTGATTCATTGGTTTATTTGTGCGCATGTGTGTATATATATATATAGAACATTTCAGGGTCAAAGGTTTAGGATTGAAGAGGTAGGGACTGAAGGCACCACGCACCAGGCCAGCAACAACGTCGCGTGTCCCTGGAGTTCCATACCGGCTGCTTCAAGCTTCAGAAGTCACGAGATGGCCCGAAGCGTGCAAAACCTTGTAGATGGGGGTTTCCGAATATAGGGGCCCTTAATATGATACCCTATATAGTAGGATCCTTACTATAAGGACCCCAAAATAAGGTACCCTACGGTTGATGATATAAATCCTGCACTACCTTAAGGACCCTAAACTATGGGAATTATGGTATATTCGTGACTATGGGTAATGCAGGATTTATATCATCAACCGTATTTTCGGAAAATCCCATATAGGGATGTGCTATTAAGAACGCAGGGCTTGATCAGCAGGATTCAGGATTGGCTGGATTGGGCCAGTTCAAAGCCCTGCAACATGCCGAAGCACATGATACACAGAACAACCCAGAATTCCCATTAAAGGGGTAATGGTCTACATTACAAGCCCAATGAGGCCCTGGTGTAAAGTAACATCCTGTAGAGCCCGTATAGTCCAGAAGCCCTTGTCAAAGCACTTCACTTGGAAACCCTTGAATGCAGACCGGGGAACTCCTGAGCCTTGGCGAACCAAACTTCCGCGCCCTCGGGATCGCCAGCTTCCGCAAAAGCATTTAGGAGGCCTGGGTGGCTTCTCTTTAAGGCTTCCGCAACAGATCCTTTTAAGGGTTTCTTGACCTTCTACATGCAGATAGGGGCCTTACAGTTTAGAATAAGCTTCTGGGTTGCTATATACTATACGGCCGGGTCTTAAGAGCTTCTCTGAGGGCTTCTGGGGTCCCCTTATATAAGAGTTTCTAGAATCGTGTCTACAGTGGGCTTTGCATTGTAAGAGCTGAGACTGCCTTGGGTTTGTGCAGGTTCAGGGTCTGTGGGCGTTGAGGGTTTGAGTTTTCGGACGGAGGAAGATCAGGGTTTGAAGCATCCGAGTTGCTTGGATCATTTGGGCATGGGTAGCCTCGAGTTGCGGATTTGGAGCTTATGGTGGGTTGCCTCAGCGAAGCAATCGTCAGTTAGTCTTCATTTTTGGATACACATAGACACTCCACCTTCTTCTAGAGTCAAGTCGACGTTGCCAGTCCTTCCTTTAGGGCCTTTACTACAAGCAGCCACATAACCACACCAAAAATGTAATGTAAGCCTAATCTTATGCAATGCCAAATACGTGCTTTTATGGGCCCGCTGTAAAAAACAACAACAAGAGCGGTTTCAAGGAACTCCATGAAGCAAGCCTCCGTACTATAGCGACCATGAGACGCCTATAGATGAAAGTAACCTCGAGGACTCGGCCGAGCAGCTGCCAAAAGCCACAAGGTTCACTCGAACTCCAGAAGCATGCATCCTTGTGAACCACCTCTCCTGGTAGGGTTGAGGGTTTGGGGGCTGAGAATTAAGGGATCGTAAACCTTAATCCTGAGCTCCCAAATCCGAAAGCCAGACTTGTGTCGATTTGTGCGCTTTGGGCTAGGGTGCCTTGCGGTTTGGTGATGTAGCTTCTCTTGAGCAGGCAGCTTTTGATTGAGCACACTGACATCACCCGAGCCTACCTGCCCGTGCTTTTTCTGAAGCACCTTCTGCCGTCTGCTTCAGGGGTCGCCAGGCTTGGTGCTTAGGTTTTGTTTAAGGCTTGCGGTTTAGGAGGCCCAGCTACTCACGTTCGTAAGTTTACCACATGGGCCACTTCTGTTCCGGGCTTCCTGCTGCAACTTCCGCTGGAAACGTCTGCCGTGGGGAGCCGTATTTTGCGGCGACTTGATTGAGTAGGCCCACAAACTAAGGGACATAAGGCTTCTGGGGGTTTTGAGCCGTGCCGACTAGACTTTCCGAAAGATCACACGGCAAAAAACTTCAAGATATTCTTAGATGCGGTGAAGCTCCTGCCTGTACAAATGAGGCACGTCCGAATAGCAACCCTTCAACCTTCAATGAATCATAATGATCCCTCAACGGCCATCCTCGCGGTATCCGTACGGTAGGGCCACTGCTGATGAAAGCCATCATGCATCAGGTATACACAGTTGCTCCCAACGTTTGGGTGCTCAGCGTCAGATAGGGCGATGTCGATCAGCAGTATCAAGGCCGAACCCTAAACATCCCTACCGGTCCATACCCGCCACACCCTATAATCCTAAATCCTTACACCGGAGACCCTTCATCGAAAATTCTTCTTAAATCAGGAAACGAAATTCCAACTTGGCTCGAGGATCCGCATCTTTCGACGAGCCTGCGGCTGCAGCAGCCTTCAACATGGCACCATAGCCTTCTTTAGGGAGTTTTGGGTTCATGGGTTTACGGGTTTCTAGCCGCGGCGGTTCGGCCTGTCGGGTTGAGGGAATTAGGTTCAGAGGCCATGGGGGTCTTTAGTTCTGCTTTCACAATCGTAGACAATGTGCCGGACAGCCTAAAATTTCGATCCGCGAATTCGGGGTCCAAACCCGTTATCTGTAACGGAGGTTTGGGCTTTAGATTGCTTGCAAGCGAAACTGCAGTGTGGACTGGGATTGGTTTATCTGCCCTCCTAACAATCGTCAGCAATGGGCGTTCGTGCCCCTCAAGCTTCGGAAACACTGGAAAGGGATCTTGAGCTTTCCGACAGCAAAAGACTGACCACGCAGCGCACCAGACGCTTTGCGAAGTAGCACGGAACGCCCGGGTCCTAACCAAATGCTCAAACGACGACAACATGGTCGGCGCAGCTGTTTACGTCCAAGTCTTCAAGTGTGCGACGCCCCTTGGCCTTATTGAGCTTCCGCTCCCAGAGGCCCTGAAATGTTGCTCTTGCTTGTCTAGTCAGCCGCTCAAAACCCAAACACCGCCGAAACTTGGATCAAAGTCACAGCGATCGTCTGCGATGTGGCCATCCTGGGCCGTGTCCGTGTCCGTCGTGTGTGCGTGTGTGTCTTCCTTGTCCTGTTTGAGGACGGGGGTTCGGGGTTGCAGTCTGCTTGGTTTCGAGATTGCTTGAAGATTGGACTTTCTTGGAAACGAGACTGCAGGATTATTTCGGAGCATTCCGGTCTGCCGGTCGCACTCTTCTCAAGACGATGAGCATTCAACCAGCACTTCGCCTCCACACTGCCTCATTTTCAATACACGCGACAGACAGCTCGTGTACCCTTTTGCATCAGGACCTGTTCTCGTTTACCTCCGACCCAAGCTTTGAAGGGTCAAAGCCATATCGCGTGAAACCCAACTGACCCTCAACCTCTTCAACAAAGACGTTCTGCACACTACAGGGTGTTTTGCTTCGCAAGCTGGGGGTTTCCTGTGGTTGCCGGTGCTAGCCAGGGCCAGCCACCCTGAACCCAACCCTCCGAAGCCCGAAATCCGTGTGCAAAGAACCCGAAACAGGAGTTTCAGCCCTCGTTCGAAGCAGCACCTTCACACAAGGCCCCCATGCCACCATCCCCCACGAAAAGAACACACAGAATCAACACAACGGCACAATGACACCTAGCAGACCTAGCAGTCAAAGAACCACCCAAATCCGAATTGCAGGATGCCGGGCAGGCGTCTGCTTCGAGCCGCTCCATGCTCGCTTCCTCAGTACAAGAGTATCACTTCGCTTGGGTGTCCATGGATTTGGGGGCTTAGGATTTGAGGCCCTCAACTCCCGAAACCCTAAGCCCGAAAACACTGCCCAAGACAGCCCTCTAAACCCTCGAAAACCACCCTTCAACCACAACTGCAACTGTCTCCCGCAAAACCCTTGCAACAACCTCTAGTATAAGCACAGAACCCTTTCTATCATGAAACCCTTTTCAGAATACTCGTTAGTACAAACCTTAGACTATTAGAGTGAGAGAACCCCCAGAAAATAAGGGATCTAACAAGGCCAAAACGAACACAAACCGACTATAGCCACTCCAAAGGATGAAGCAACTCTAAACCCCCAAACTTAAACCGGAACAAAGCCACAAAAAGCAAACACCACTCCATGACCAGGAGGCCGCTGCGGGAAGGTCGCCGGCCTCGGCGGCCGCGTTGATGAGGCTCGTGAAGCCTCGGCAGGGTTTTAAGTTTCAATTCTTTTAACAGCGTTAGGTGCTGCTTTATTTGAGGTTTCATAATGGCTGTAAAGGTTTAAATGCCCGATTGTGCTGCTTTATAGACGTGTTGCGGTGTTGCGAAAGGCTTGTATCGGCTGTGAAGCCACGCTCGGGCTTGCAGGGGCTTGTCGCTTTGAAGATTTCGTGCTTTTTAGACTTACAAGATTGCTCGGGTAAATGTTGCTATTTACTGCTATTAATTGGGAGCTCATGTGCTCGTGTACATTCCGACATTTTGCTGTCGGTCACTCACCTATGCTATAGGTTCGCCCGGAGTATGACTCGTGTGATTCGATGTTGCTGTAGAGGCCCTTGCTGCTCCACAAACCTTGTCATCCTCCACCTACACCCTGCAAGGACGTACCACCAACACAGAGCCGCCAGTGAATGTATTGTCTTTTGTGAAGGTGTATGTAGATCCATCTAATGCCTGGACCTATGACATGAAATTGGCCGGAATGTAGATTCTTGCCAGACCTTTGGACATCCCTGGTTCTTGCCTGCGCGCGGGATCTTGCCACGGAGTTCTGCTTTCTTTTGGGCACCAACCAGCAAGCCCTGTGCCCGCAACGGCTGTCGCGTGACGCGTGTGCACGAACTGAACTTCCTCCGGCTGCGCCCCGGAAGGCCACCGAGGTTTGGGTCGCTGACTGTTGCGACCAGCAGCCCACGGGCATACAGAAATCCTACGGTCAACCTTCCCTAAGCAGAAATTCAGGACACACGAACGCCAAACTAATCAGTCTATACGTATTATCGTTACGATATTTCCATGAATGAGTAACGGCCGCGCAGCCCTCGCAGGTTTGTGCACGGAAGGTCGCCGCGGCCACCCCAACCATCGTCCACAGGACCGCCACGCTCATGTCGCGTTGAAAACCCGCATCTGCGTTAGTTACCGCTGTGCACGGTTGCTCTTCGAAACAACCGCGTCCCTGTCCACGAAAATGTCCAGAAGATTCTTGGAAGCGAATGCTCCCAAGCGGCCAGGGAACTACAGCAAGTAAAAAACCTCTGAGGAGTTGTTGTTGTTGGCACAGACAAAAACAGCAGCCTGCAATTGTTGTTCATTAGAAGCACTTGGGAATGCTTCCGGCGACTGCTTAGGGCTTCGGGTGCTTGTAGAGTTTTGGGGAATGCAAGCCACGGTTTACACAGCATCTGCCACATGATACGAATGCGGTGTAGGCTGCACGGTTGTTGTTAAGGTGGAGGTGTCAAACCAACAGACGGGGCTCCAGGTTTTTGTCTCTACCACAGGGTAGAGCCAAAGGCCTCATTGAAATTAGGACTTTGTCTCCCCTGTTGTAGAGACAAAAACTGGAGCCCCGTCTGTTGTTTTGACCCCCGCCCCTGTGCAACAACCGTCCACATCACACCACATTTCCACCGCAGGTATGGGAATCTACGAAATCCAGACGGGGTTCTCATGGGTTTTGAAAGGGCTGTTCTGTAATTCTGAAGGGTTTGCATTAGATATCGAACGATTCAAAAGGATTTGAGGGGAGATTGACGGGTTTTATGTGATGGTGAGAAGGGCTTGATCCACGTCCGCCGCTTTGACTTGGTCCCAGGCCCTCAGACCCACGTCTGATGCTTTGGACATACGCACACAAAATCTTTTCAACACCTCGCAATATCCATGGACATACATACAAAATCCAAACAAAAAATGCAAATACACACAAAATCAACGGAAATGCGTAACAAGTCTTTGAAACACCTACAAATCCATAGAAATAAGACAAAATGCTTGCAAACACGCACAAAATCCTTGCAAATACACACAAACTCCTTGCAAATACACACAAACTCCTTGCACGCACACACACACACACACCAAATCCTTGCAAATATGCACCAAGTCCTTGCAAATACACACCAAATCTTTGCTACTGAAAAATTCTCTGCAAACCGCTCAAACCCTATACACTATACACCATAGGTACTGTGTTGTTGTTGGCGTTCGAGGGGGGGTAAAACAACATGACGGTTCTCCTGTTTTTGTCTCTACCTAATGTACAGACAAAAAGCTGATATATGGTCACGCGCTCCGCAGCCCCCCCCCCCCTCCCCCCCCAAAGGTCAATGGTCCGGATATAGGGTGGGGCCCCCCCTCCCCTGTGGTGTGGGGTGTGGGGTTCCTCTTCCCCCTGTGGGGTGGTTGTGGGGTTTTGGGGTTTAGGGTTTGCTTAAGCTTTTGAGTTTTGGGTTTACGGTTACAAGGTATAAGGCTTCGAGTCGACAAGGGCTTAAGGAGGATTTGCGGTGTATGCTCTGCTTTAGGCTTAGAGCCTGCAGTTAGGTGGGGTTTAGGGTTGGGTGTAGCGTTTTAAGTACAAGTTAAGGTTGCTGAAAACAGGGGCACGCGCTGCGTGTAGGGTTTACGGCTTGCTTGCGAAGGGCTTGCGCGTGAGCACTGGCCGCCAGCACGACTCCACCATCCGGTGGCAGCTCCAACGGCCCCCAACCCCTTTCCGCGCACGCCAGCTCCCCCCCCCCACCCCTATCAGACCATACCATTGGGGGGGGGGGGGGGGGGGCTGGGAACGCCAGACGCCTGACCATATATGGGTTGAGGGGGCTGCAGTTCTTGTTTGTACCTCGTTTACAACACGGAAAGTCCTCTTTGAAACTGGATCTTTTCTGATGTGCCAGAAACGGCAAAGAAAACGACACAAAACCAATATCCGCAAATGCTGAACCGCAAGCCCGAAAGCCCTAAACTGTCAGAAACCCTGCGACCCAGGAGCACCGTGGACCGGGTGACCTTTGCGTTGCCGTTGAAGTGAAGGTTTAGAGTTTAAGGCTCTGCTCAGTGTTACGCTCCAAGGATTTATGGGTGTAAGGGTTTCAGGGTTGAAGGTTAAGTGGTTCAAGGTTAAGTGGTTCCAGGTTTAGGGTTAAGCTTTTAGGGCGAGCATTCTGCGACTTCACGCTGCAAGCTCCCGTTAAGCAAAGCAATCGTGTCGTCTCAAGCCCTGAAACCCTAAACCTTTCGTAAGGGTTCGGACTGTTATGCAGTTGTTTTCTTTTTGAACGCCTTTTTCCGATTGTCTGCCATAGCGTCCTCTTAGGGTTTAGGGCATAGGGCTTATGAAGGGCTTGGCAACAAGGTTTGTACGGTGTCTGGGAGTTTCAGGGTTTAGGCAGGGTGACAGGGCCTGGGGTATGAGGTGTCAGGGGCTGAATGAAGGGTTCGAGTTTAAGCGGCTTAGACGTTGAAGGTTTGAGGTTGAATGAAATCAGGACTTTTCGGGTTAGGGTCTATAGGGCTTTTGTGGCTTGCGCCCTCGCATCTGGATACATCCAGATGAAGACTTTGGTTCGAATTCCACGGCTGTGAAACTCTTCGGTGTGGGCAGTCAGGCAGCTTGGTATGACCATGTCAGGACACAAATGCCGAAACACTCAGTCAATGGGTTAGGAAGTCGGGGATCATCTTGCAGGGGTTGTAGGGATCCGGGTGGCTGTAGGGATTATGGCTCCAGGGAGTGGGGTTAACCAGATCGGACTTGGAATTGTCAAAGCCGATCCCAAGGCATGTGTTGAGACTCCTTCATCAATGGAGAACATGTCAACCTGCGGCCATTTCCAAAAATCGAAACCAAAATATTAGGTCGAATAGACCGGAACAGTAGAATGCGCATTGCATGGACTCCTAGTCCTAGTAGTAGTCAACTCCCATATGTCATGTATGATGTGTGACGTCGAAGGACGCAAGATCAGGCCGTAGCGATGTAGCTGCCTGTCCCCTGACTTTGGCCCTGGGCTAAACAAATAGAAGCCTTCAAACAACGTGAGCCCGCAGGGTAATATGGAAACCTAAAGCCCTAAGCCCAAAAGCCCTAAACCCGCATACTGGAAGTCTTTTGCAAATATCTAGCGATTGAGTACCCCAAGGTAAATCGTCAGTATGGAACCTGCACTAAGTATACCTACCGACACCCAAACCCTTCACCCTGACAGTTAATCAACCGTATACCCAAAAAACCCTGAACGCTTATGCCCCAAACTTTCCCTAGGGCTCCAGTTACCTAAATAGTAGGTTGCTAGCCATATATTCTATACCCCAGTAACCTACTATTTAAGTAACTGGAGCCCCAAACTTTCCTAAACCTTCCGTCCAGGCCACAACCTCTGCTGCGTCATCGCCTCCAGGACGCCCTCTGCAGCGGCGAGATCGCCCTGACGCGCCCAGGCATCCTCGGGCTTCGGGCTTTCAGAGGCCTTATCTCGGGTTTCAGGGCTTTTGAATGTTCCTTTTCCTTGCGTTGGTCCTGTAATTTAAATAATGACCAGCAACTACCTAGCGCAAACTACCAAACAACGAGTCGTCAGGACATTGCAGCGTCCCCGATGTCATCCAAGCTTCCAACAAGCTTCCGTAGCTTACCTCCGTGGCGCTGATAGGGCCTAGGCTGCATGCACCGTGCCACCATCAAGCCAGAGAGTGAGTGCCCAGTATCATTCACACCATGTGAGGTTCAAGGTCGCCGGAGCCCGCGAAACACCCAGCATTCTGTAGTACAGAATATTGATTGAGGCGTCAAGCTGCGCAACATATCAGGGAGCTCAAGTTCATTCCTCCATGACAGTCCAAGCCACTGTCTTTCAACCTTTGCATCCAGAATTCCTCAGCTTCGCGAGCGGCTTCGTGGGTGTGTGGAACTACACAACAATAGCTTCCTGGCATGTCCTGGTTCGATTGAACGGAAAATGCAATGCGGTTGAGTTGTGGAATACTTACTACTGTAATGATACTTGGATGACCAATCCTGCTTGCAACTCTTCCACTATATTCCGGCTTCGCTGATGCTTATGAGGTTGGATCATATAGATGTCCCCCTTATCTCGCAAAACAGGAGCTTTGCCGCATTGGATGTTTGATGACATGCAGCCTGCAGCGGATTGCATGTAGATTTTTCGGTCTTCAACAATTGACGTAATTTGCCGAAGCGGAAAGTAGCAGCAGTAACACTAGTTTCAGCAGTACAAGTCGTGGAAATCGTGACACGATCACCACAATAGCGACAACTGCAACTACACGACAACGACGATGACGACGTCAATGCCAGACCCAGTCCTATAAAGTGGCAATAGCCTGCAGAGCAGCATCACGACGTACAAACATTCTGCCGAGTGACGGCGTGTTCAGCGTCTGAGGCTTTAGCGCAGGCATTGAGAATGCCTCAAGAAGGGGTGAGGCATTTGAGCTGCAAGGGGTGCGGGGAGAATACGCATGACTGCCATGCATGTTGTGATTACAAAAGGTTTTGTTGGGCGAAGTGTCTTCGGGTAACAGACGGTCCACAAAGCTGACATGTCGTACATGACACAGCCCGGGTCCTGCCGCCAACAATAATTGCTCAACAGCCCGCAAATGCTGTCACAAGAACGCCAGACTGCAAGATCCGCTCCAAAAACACATGCCCGGAATAGACATCTAGACAAGAACGTCTCTCTCCCTCTCCCTCTCCCTCTCCCTCTCCCTCTCCCTCTCCCTCTCCCTCTCTCTCTCTCTCTCTCTCTCTCTCTCTCTCTCTCTCTCTCTCTCTCTCGTGTTTGCTATATGATGCGTTTACCAACGTCCGGGAGGCAGTTGTAGCTGACGACATCCGGCTGAAGAGCAGAGTGCTTCAATCGCTCCTGGGCTCAGACGAAGGTGTTCTTTCAATAGTTTTTTTTTGAGGGCCCTTTTCCTCCCTGCTACAGTCGGAATACCTAGGATAGGGGTTTTGTTGATTAGGCTTTCCACACCGTTTCCGTTGCAGAGAGTCTCATAGAGGCAGGCTTGGAGGTGGCACTTGATGCTCCATCTGAGAACAACCCTAACTAGCCCTAATTGGCTTCGCTAGGTTCAGAGCACGGCATTGGGCTGTCGCGTAGTAGGGCTTTTTGAAGACGGTGAACTGCACGATCCCAAAACTCCGAGACTAGAACCTACAAGGCACGTCAACCCTCGTATCTAAAACAGTCGGCTAAACCCGAACGGCCTCAACTCTGAATTAAACCCCAAACTTGCAACCATTGACTAAACCCTGCACACCCTTTTCGGGCATGTGGGCTCTGATGCCCATGCGCTACCCAGCCCTGAAGCACAAGCCACTGAGCCGCGAGACCGAAACCCCAGTATACCCTAGTGACCAAACACAATGAAGCTCTTACACCCGAAAATACAAAGGCATACAGAGCGCAACCCGTGATGCCCACGATGACCTACAAAGCCCTGAACCGCGAACCCCCTATCTTGACCGAACCCTGCGAAAACCCTGTACTTCAAGCATGCCGAAACCTGCGAACCCAAAGCCTGACATCCTTGTGGCTAGACCCTGTAAACCTTTTATGACAAGGCTTCTGTGAGTTGAGGAGTCGAAGGCCGCACCGAGACCCCACAAAAGTCCGCTGAAGCAAAGAAAGAACACCTCCGCCGAAGCTTCGAAGAGCTGTGTGGCTGCTGCCACCTTCCCTTGTCGAGCGTGCGTGTTCATGGCCTGGGGGAGCCACTCATTTTCATTGCAGGGAAGCAGGTGAATCGTCGCTTTGTCTGGTCCTTTTGAGGGGGCCTTTCACAAGTAAGGAAAGGGACTTATGGGGCTCTGTATGGCTGTTTACGATTTGATTTAGGGCTGGATACAGGAGACTTAAATTTAGTATTTGGAGCAGAGTTTGGGGGTAAAGGGGCTATGTGGGTTTCTTGTTGCGAGTGACTCAGACAACTTCTTAGACTGGTCTTATGGCTGAGCTTGGATTTGGGACTTGTCACCAGGGGTAGTAAGTAGTGAAACAAGGCCTGGGGTTGCTAGGGTTCAAGCCTGTGGGGTCTAGTGCCTGTAAGTAGTAAGGTCGCGAAACAACCCCAACTGGTCTGCGCTAGAACAGACCCTAAGCTTCGGAGTTTGATCTGTAAGAAGAGCCTGGACACATGAAGGTGCTAGTAGGGTACAAGGAGAGTGCACCGATCCGGAAGATTTCTTGAGCTTGATCCAAGGGATTAGAGTTGGAAAGCTTCCTCCCTTCTTGCCGATATCCCCGCACGCCCTGGACATCTTGAGTTACAAAACCGTTGCCCTTGATGCCGAAGTTCAGGAGCAATCCATACGCAAGGACGATCGAACCACCATTCCGGAGATTCTGCTGTGAACCCTGGACAGTGGGCTCGCCAGCCCTCCATCCATAACTGAAGCGGAAGTGCTGCGCGATCCATAAATCGCTAAGCTCCAAATACTGCAAGCACGAGCTGCGATGTTGTAGCTGACGGTGTCGAGCTGCAGACCCTCCTCTGCAGAGCACTTCGAACCACGGGAGCAGAACAAAAATTCAGCCAATTTTCCCTCAACTCCTTGTACGGTTGTGGGACCTGTGCGGTTGTGGGACCAAGTGTCACCATTATCCCTTGACGCTCCGCCTTAAATCGGACTCTCTTCAGGCTTGGGATTCAGGAGTCTAGGATCAGGGTGAAGGATTCCTCGAGTTCGGGGTCCTCGAACAGCGGGGTGTCCCTGCTTGATTGAATTTACGCATTCTAATTTACTTCCACAAGGTTACGTAAGGGTTTGCGGGCTAGGTTCTTTGAAACCCCGCCTGGCTAGGGAATGGGTGGTATAAGGCCGTAAGTTGAGGTTCGCTGCAGACCTTATGTGTGGACAAAGTATAGTGATGTAAACATCTTTGGTGAACTTCCTTCGACATTCAACTCATGAAACAATGCAACGCGGCATGCAACTGAGCCCACGCATACACGTCAGTATATACGCGCACGCATTGATTGCGGATGGAAAATGTGTTTGATCCTTCTCATTGTCGGTATTTCTGCAGCCGCCAAAGGCTCTTTTTGCATTTGTCTCTTTGCGTTTAGCATTGCGAACAATGGACGGGGCAATCCCCGGCTGAGGGTATTTGTGCGCTTCCGAAAGGCCATCTCTTTTGCATCCTCCCATTCTTCGGAACACGACAATTTGTAGTGGTTCCTCTTGCTGAAACTTCAGGCCGCTCTGGCCATCCCTCCCTCCCTCTCTCTCTCTCTCTCTCTCTCTCTCTCTCTCTCTCTCTCTCTCTCGCTCTCTCTATTATCCCTATCTATATCTCTCGGCATCTGTTCGAAAGTCAAACTTCTGGAGATGGCAAGCCCGCAAGCGATCCCCCTTCGACCGGCCGCCTGGCCAATAGGAACAAGCAGAGTCAGACTCGATGCAACAGGTCCGCCACCGCACAGGGGAGCAACTGCAGGGAGAGCAAGGATCCTAACCCGGCTATGGCCTGAAGTTCAAAATCTTATGAGGACCAGCGAGTATGCACCGTGGAAAGCTTTGTGAACTTGAGTGAAGGTGCCGGATTCATGGCATCAGCAAGCAAGCGACCAAGAACTCGATGGGGGTAGCTTTTTTGGCACTCAGTTCCAGTGTCTCCCTTTGTTTATGATCGGCGAAATTGAACCACGCGAGCGCTGGGCTTTCCTAAACCGAGGGTTTAGGAACGTTTAGGGCTATGCTTCAGCGCCATGTCATGTCCTCCTCAAGTTCTGCTAGCAGATCATCCACGTGACCTGTCCAGTGTCAGTGGAAAGCCAGGCGCGTTTCTTGGTGTTGCCACTGGGGAAGGGACCTCCTCGCTTGGCCACAGCTCCCAGAACGGCATCCACAACATTCGGGGGCAACCTGGGCATGGCCTGTAGGGTATCAGGTTCGAGGTTAAGGCGGTTTTACGGGCTTAGGGTGTCGGTGGCGCGTCTATATTAACATCATAGGCTTGCTGGTGAGAAAGAGCCGTTGGCAGCTCAACAACACTCGTGGGTGTAACAAGCAGGATACAGCAACGAGCCCAAACATCACCAGATCCAAAGTGATGAAGGGGAGGGTTACCCCTGCAAGTCTTAGCAGGGGCCCTCACAACAGCGGGACGTGGCATGTATTTGTGGTGCCCGAAGTATCCCCAATCAGCACATGGCCTAGACTCAAAAGCAGGGCTCTTGTTACGGGATGGTTGCTCTTCGATGTTCTCAAGGGACGTGTCCGACTTCGCAAAGCCGCGAGCAGGGACTTACACAGTCAGGCTTCACACGTCTGGGTAAAAAGCTGCACACGTACACACGTGTTATTTGGATTGTATGTGCCTGTACGTGTGTATGACATGCCTTTGGACTTGAGAACTGTTGATTGATCAACTGCCCGGATACCCGGCGCAAAAGCCCAGATCGAGTTTTCTCGTACGGATGTACACTTAGCCTAATTAATAAGTTCGTGCACCTTTATGCATACGTTCGTTTCGTCTTGCAGTTTGTTGTGGCGCTCTTGCAGGCTGTAGGTCAGTAGTATGCATGCAGTGCCGTACATGATTGAGTTTACGAAATCAACTCCCTGACTTGTGCAAGGCAGCCCCTCCTCAAGACAGGGTTATGACAACCCTTAAACTTCTACATAGCGTGCTTGAGGATGGGGGTAACGCGCGGCCAACCATGTATGGAAACATCTCATATACTCTGAGTCTGGAGGAAGCGAGGCCTTAGAGTTGCCTTCAGATGCTTACCCTGTAGAACAGAAACAGACAAAAGTAACTTTGCACGTTTCTTCTCGCTCAATGGCTTGAGAAAGGGTTCTGTCCGGTCTTCATGAAGGTTCTGGAATCGACTACACTCATTTCCACAATGCTCCTGCTCCGTTTCAGCCCTGTTGCGCCAACCTGTCTGGCGATGACCGAAGCAGCGATAAGCTTTGCGAAGACTTCTGCGCCTTCCTAGGCATGCAAGATCCGATGAATCAGCGCTTCGGGCATGCTAAGATAGATAGACAGAAGACAGGAAAGCGAGCCCAGGGAGCTTGGTTTCGGTAGACAGCCGGACATAGCGAGAAAAAGAGAGAGAGAGAGAGAGAGAGAGATAAGATAGAAACGGAAGGACAACACCTGGACACCACTGTAAAGAGTCGGGCAAGAAGCATTTTCGCAAGCAGGCTGACATAACGCTCGGATGCGGCCAAAATCGGGGGTCGGGCCTGTGACCTCCGTCATAACAGGGTCCTCAGGTGCACGCTTAAATTCAGATGAGGCACGCGAGGGCAAGGATCTCCTAGCAGCAGGAGTTCCCGGCGAATACAAAGAGCAGGCTCACAGGCAGGCTTTATAGAAGCCACAGAGTGGACCCGAACTTGCAATCTCATGATCTTCTGGCTTGACGAATCATAGAAGCATCAATACCAGCCGAGGCCACCCTACAAGGCCAGTGCAGTCCGAAGTAATTGATTCTTCTGTGGCGGACGGGCCGGGAAGCAGGACAACCCTCTCTCATAGCTCCTATAACATGCCGACATGCGAAGAAAACGAGACAATGACGAACCATGACGAAACTCTGCTCGGGTGTCTTCCATCGCCCGGAACGGCAGCTAAGTCGTGTTGTTTTAAACTCGCGCCAAGTCCGATGGTCCAATACACTATGGCCCTATGGAGCACTCGTCTGGGCTGCCGACTGCGGATAAGCTGTCCGGTGCTGCAACTCGTACCTGCTATGCAGCAAGCCGAACCTTCCGGGCCCCAGTCACCGTTCAAACACAACAAACACCAGACGCTGGAGCCCTGAAACATAAAACTCGACTCAAATGTGTGTCTGATAAGGATTTTCGCACCTAGGACCTCGTAACTACAAGGCTGAGCTTTTGCCCTAAGCGGTGGGACAGGTCGGCCGGTCTTAGAGCCTAGGGAAATATCCGCGCCCTTGCGCATCAAAGGGGAAGGTTCAAGGTGTCCCCGGTGCAGGAGACTCTACCTGGACCCCAAAAGTATGTAGAATAATCGCTCTTTATAGGCTTTGGGCCATTATTTTACCTACTTCGGGGGGTCTAGGTATGAGCCATATTCGGATCTTGAGCTGCCCCGGCTGAAAGGCTTGAAACTGAGCTTGCGGCCTTAACCAACACTGATACTCTGGACTTCTGAGTCTAAGACAATCAGGGATCCTCGTATATAAGTCCTGCGTAGGTAGTGTACGGTCATGTTTGAAGAGCGCCGTAAATCGGCACACCCCGTAATGGGAAGACCCACTCTAAAAGGGTTGGGGCTGGCGCAGCACTTTCCTCACATCAAAGCAGTTCTGCCTTCCGGCAACCTCAGACGCCTACTTCCCCAAGCCCAAACCCTCCTCCCCCAACTTCCTGGCCTGCACAGGCGGCCAGACTCGTCGTCCTTTCAGCTGCCACCTTCCGGGCAACAGAAACTCAAGTTCCTTCACTTTTTAACCATGTATCTAGCGATGCTCCCGCCAAAAAAAACACGAAAGACTAAACCCCCTAAGCCCCCGAAGTCCTAAACAGAACATCCATCGGCCTCCTCCAGCGCCTCCGTGGCTCTAAACCGCAGAGGCGCCATGCCAGGCATGGGCAGCAGCCTCTAAGCACAGCGCCGGGGATTCGCGTTCATGGGCTCAGGAACAGGTCTATCGGGTGTGGGGGCTATACATCCATAAATACATAGAAACACGTACATATTTTTTCCAAAATATCTGGAATATGTGAAAAAAACATAAACATAGACATACGCATATATGGGCGCCTCACAGTTTGGACTAGGGTGTGGGGTCTACAAATCGAGAAAGAACAAAAAACGTTGTAAGGTTTAGTATGTCTGTATGTACATAAGTAAAAATATACCTACACATTGGTGTATGTGTATGCCTATATATAAGCATGTGTGTGTATATATATATATATATATGTATGCAAATCGAAACGACCATGGATGTTTCAGGCTTCAGGCTTGGATCGGTTTTGTTCGTTGTTAAGGCTTTCAGCTTGGGTTGCGTGTGGTTGTTCAGCTTTTGGAGGCTTCGGATTTTGAATCTAGGGGGATGAAAGTTGCAGGGGTTTGGGTGTCCGATTGCTTATAGACTTCGGGCTAACGATGTGGGGCTCAGGATTTAGAGCCGCGGGGACTTTGGGACATGATCTGCAAGCTTTCGTTCAGGTGTGAAGCTTGCAACTGCTTTGAGGTTTGCATCATGGTTTGGAGTGGTTTTTATGGTTTTTGGCTGAGGACGTTGACCTTGTTTTGGTGGCTTGAGCCCTGGAGTTTGCTTTGCGAAGACACAAAGCCTTCGGGCTTAGAGATTGGACGTTCCGGAATTTAGGGTCTTTTTCCCTCCTACCTAGCAAGGACGAAGCCCGCATTGCAGGGAGTCTTGGTTGAACTGCTGAACAAGCCGTGATATTCACAGCAAAGTAACCGTTCGAGCTAGGGGTTTGGATTTTAAGCTTCGGGCTTCAAGTTTTAGGCATGTCGGGTCCTCAGCGCCTTCATGGTGCTGTGTGTGTGTGTGTGTGTGAAGTTCAAGGCTTCGGGTCATTGTAGGGATAGAGATCGCGGGAGCTGAGCAAGAGCCCCGAAACAGGAGTTTCTTCTTCGGCACGTTTCACTTGCACGCTGACGCATTGGGAAACGTCACCTATGCTGTGCTCTCACATAGATTTGCCATCCCTCCCGAATGGTCTCGAAGCGCTGCAATACTTTGCGGTCTGTCTCTTTGACCCTTGCCCGTATCCAAACTTTTTGTTCAGGGCCATGGGAAGCCCGGACATGTTTCTGGTGTTCCCTCAGGCAAAAAAGCCGGCGATTGTCCAAGCTGTAGACTAGATGCGAATGCTTGCATTTTCCCCAGCAAACACAGACATCGAGATTCAGGAACTCTGCATGCGTCTCGATAACCCCATCGTTCAGACCCTCAACCAGCTCTTCCAGTGGGCGGCCATCTCGAAAGCCATTGGAAATTGAACGCTGCGAGTACCTAACAGAGTCGATTGGGAACCAATAGTCGTAGCTATCAGCAGAACTTTGATGTTGTGGCTGCAGGTGTATCTCCTGTTGTGGCTGCGGCTGTGTCTCCAGCAGCGATTGAGGTGCCAGGCGTTGGAGTGGTGCCCGTGGCTCCTGATCCGGTCCTTGCGGTCGCTGCAAGTGTTCCGGCAGTACCTTCTCCAGGACGAGTGCGACATCTCTGCCCGGAGTCTTGATAACGTCCGCCTCTTCCACCCACTTGGCCGATGCGCCAGCAGGGCACTCCGGGGCTGCCATTACCTGACCATTTTCTCCAACGTACATCAACCAACGCCCCTGCTTCTCATGTAGCCAGCGGTTCACCAGCCAGAAGCTGCCATCACCGACATGAGCCTTAATCCACATGGCCGAGTGCCAACCTGGAGCGATAGGATCCTCTGCATCCAATGGTTCGCCACTTCGGCGCCTCTCCATATGAAGTTTGTGGCTGCGGCTTTGGCGGTGCGCGGCGTATACGAAGCCTAGGTCCGCCAGAAAAGGAACGTTGTATTGGCTGGTAGCCTGGACTGTTTTCTTAAGCAGCTGGTCAAATTCATCGCCAGCAGGCCTTGTCCCAACACATTGCAATGCACCGGAGAGGGCCAACGCCAAGTGGCAAGCCCTTTTCCGTTTCTCCTTGTTGCTCCCTCTTCCAGCAGCACAAAGGCCAGCACCGGGCCCTTCCAATACATGAGCAAGAGATGGTGATACGTCCTCTGCAATCCTAATGTTTTGTTTTGGTTCTACAGACAGCACTTCCATGCACCATCTGGCAGCTGCTTGAGCGTGGGGATGCGTTGCATCGTCAACTCGCACCAGCACGACCTTGTGGCATCCGTCTTCCGTTAACATGCAGGACACCTGCATCTTGGCACATGGCAACACCACAAGTTCCGGTGACACAGGTCCTCTCAATGCGGGGGAGAAACCAACGAATGAACGTTTTCCCTATCATGGTCCTGTAGCTTACTATTCATGGTCTTAGGTCCCAATCGTGATACACATGTGTGAACGTGCCAGAGCTGTGGCACACCTTTCTCAGACAAATGTGTAGGTCAGCTAGCTGTTTGGGGACGCGGGCATTGTGCAAATTGTCAGCAGGCCAGGCGGGCAGTAACGGCCATGCTGGGAGCCTCGAGCGCTTGCAGTAAGAAGGAGAAGACGAAGAAACAACGATGTAATGATGTAACTGTAAAGCTCCTAAGGGGGTTCTAGCAATGCTCTGAAGCAGCGTGGTTTTGTGACAATACTCAGATGGGTTCTTTGAGGGGGCTTTAAGGTGAGGCTCAAGATGAAGTGAGGTTTGCATTCCTCGCAACAGAATCCTCAATAATCAATGCGTGGTCCCGAAGCCGCGCGAGGGCGCCTAAAGATGAAGTCGTGACGACGAAGTCCACGAAATTCGTCACTACGGCAACCCTAAAAACGAGAGCCCAAATACTTAGAGGAGTGGTTGTAGTAGCAAATCATACCGGAAATCGCAACACACATCTTGCAAGCATTGACAACTTTGCGATCCAAAACCAGCGATCCAACATCACAGCAACATGACCCAGCGGCTTAAAGTTTGAAACACTGAGATACTTTGGAAGCCCAAAGATAGCAACAAGAACCCCTTTCTGACCCCCAGCTGGCTCAATCTCGGCCTGCCACACCGACAGTCGCCCAAGCACAGGCAGATCGCCCCGGCGGCTTCTTGGAATCTTATATGGGAGTTTCCGAAAGTTAAGGCTATCTCATTTTGGGGTCCTTATGATGAGGATCCTACTATTTAGGGTACTATATACTTGGAAAGCCAATACAGGTAGCTCATGTTGGCTAGGCAGTATGCAGGTTTTTGAATCAGGATGGGGTGGCATCCGCTCCTGCATGGGTCAGCTGATTCGGGAAGAAGGCTTCTTTCACACCTGCCATGATGCCGTGAGCCCGCCGTACCACCTCAAGCCTACGGCCCAAACTGCAAAAAACATGTCTCTAAGGATCTGGGCCAAGCTTTGACGTGTGCCAAGTCCGAAACACTCAGTCCAAGAATCGCAGATGCGGAGCTGTTGGGTTGCCTCGTCCTGAAGTGGTTGGGAGCTACCTGAGTCGCAGGGGTCTGGCTTGGTGTTTATTCAAAGGGTAAGAAGGGGTCCAGTCATGAAGAGAAGTCTCTCTTTCAACAGTGGGTCTCCTCTCTAGACACAGACCTAATCTTAACCCTGCCCACTGCGACAAAACGACGAGGTCCCGTGCTCTACTCCGGGGCCTTAGCGGCTCTTTTAAGTGCTCCAGATGGAACTGCAAAGATTTCGATAATCCGGGTGTGAGTTAAGGGCTTACGTCTTCAGCCGCGCGGACCTACCCGAAAACAAGAAGAAGCTTGCCCTTAGAGTCCTAGTACCGAAAACCTGGGTACGCGGCTTAAGAGAATGTTAAGGGTAACTCAGAATCAGGACTGACGACTGATGTAGATGCACAGCTTGATCCGCGCCGGCCCCGGCAGCTCTGCCTGACTCGAACACGAACTGGCTTTCCAGCGACGACAACACAAGCTTTGCCACCAACTTGCTTAAAGCAATCGGATAACCTAGACACGTGCGACGGTTTCTTTATGATCGCCTGCTAGGGCAAAACCTACACATAGCCACTCGCAAGACGGTCTAGCTGAAACCCTGCACAAATACAAGTGCTATCATCAATCACTCATGTCCCAAGGGGCTGATCCCTTCGGCGCGGCCAAAACGATCAGATGCTCACTGGCGCAGTTTGTCATGACCGAATACTGAATACTGCAATGAACCTTCTGACAGCGACCGGGCAACGATGAAACTCAGAAACAGTAGGATAGGCTTGCGCGCATACTGTTCAGCCTGAATCAACCTCCCGCTCCCCCATCCCACCTCCAAACAACAAAATACATTACCGAGTCGCCGGGTCTGAAACCCGACGGCAGGCTGGCAGGCAGTAACCGAGCCATGTAGGCTGTCGCTCTAGTGCAAGAAATCCAACTAGAATCCGGCCCGAATGCGGGTAGGAATTTTACGCTTGGCTTTCTTGCTTCGAGAGCGATCCCCACAAGAGTACTGCCCTACTTACAGTCTACAGCCCCAGACCTTCTTGCGGGGAGCTGGGTTTGAAAGCGTTGGTTCAGTTATGCTGTAGGCATACCGTCTTGACGAAAGTGCGAAAGCCCGGGCACACCAAGCCGCCGAAAGAGGGCTGCGGAAATGCAGCACTGAACCGCAAAACGGAAGAATGACATACACCAGGACCTGGCAATCTGAATGCTTGCGGCAAAGTACCTGTTACTAAGTTATGAAATCTTGCAAGAGCATAAAACCCTTGCCAAAGAGAGCGCAGGCTCGACCCCCAGACCCCCAGGAGGTTTATAAGTTCCTTAAATGGCAACTGGCAAAATTCGGACCTTCACAATACAAGGCTTTGGCCATCCATGGCACGCATCACCCCTACGACCAAACCTTCACCTCCCAATCTCGCACCCCGACTCTAAGTCAAAACCATCGCAGCTGCGAAAGAATCGGTGGGAGATGATTGGAGCTCTGGAAATTCATCAGATTCAAAGCTCCATAGCTCAGTCCCCTGTTCTCCGCAAGCAGCCCTAGAACCCCAACTTCAAGGCTCCAGGCCAAACCATCCCCCGCAACTTCGGCTGGAGGCCGTTCACTCTCAGGGCACCCCGGTGTGCCCGCGATCTGCTCCACGGCGAGCTTGTCCTCACATCGCTGGGGTCTTCAAGAGACCAGGCCCGCTGGCTCTGGGTCAGCAGGGCGGAAAAATCCACGGAGACGAAGAAAAAGCCAGCATGACTGTGAGCATAGGAGACAACATCTCTGTTACAGTAGTTAACTGTACTGGCACCTGCAGTGGCAAGAATGATGCTGGCAACAAACAGCAATACGGAAGGATTGCTGAGTGCAACGGTAAGAAAGGAAGGAATTTGGTTGCCAGTGAGATGCGAACCTGAACACCAGCAATACCCTTTTTGGCCTCTGTACAGCCTCATAGCGGGGAGAGGGGGTCAACAATATCCTCGGTCTGTGTACAAGCATTCAAAAGGACAAGAAACCACGTGAAGGCATGTAGACATCCATACGTACCAGCTACACCAAGGCGACAGGTCAGTATGTGGGCACAGTCCTTCGAGCTCGTGGGTTTCAGGAGCTGGCGGCCGCGGAAGGATCACCCGAACAGACCGAAGCAACCCATTCCTGCCTCGCCGCTGTTATCCTTCACTGTGGCTGCTAGGCCTCAGGCTAAGGAGCAAGGGCCTAATGCCTACTTACCTGGGTTTAGGGGTAAGGGGTTTACCGGTTGCAATCTTTTGGCGAGTAGCGCTTTGGGTTTGCCGAACCCTGAGCTCAATTATTTCTCTATGGGTGGTCCTAAGATCGGATGATAAAGTGCTACAAATTGCGAGGTTGAGGTAGGGCTCGGATGTTAGGCTAGCGTTGAACCTCTTCAAAAGACCATGTAGCACCTTTTGTAACAGGGCAGCCGCCTATGATGTACCCGTTTGTAAGTCCCGTCTTGATTTCAAGCTGGGCTGAGCCCAAGTCCAGTCTAGTTACGATGGTCTTATTGTCGTATGTCTAGCCCTAATGATGTATAACCCGTATAGCATTATGGGTCCTAAACTCTAAACCCCACCCCCCTGACTTTTTTGTAAGGACCCTTGGGGGGAGGGGGGCTATTTAAGGATCCTTAAATAGCCCCACCCCCCATACCACCCTAAGAGCCCCTATGAATTATATGGACGTTTCCCATTTGCTCTGAGTGCCGAGGCCGAAGTCTGCCATCTTCGGAGTGCCGTCGGCATCGAGGAGGATGTTCGCGGGCCTTTTGATCAGAAATCTGCCCTGGTAAGACGCCTACCTAGACCCCCCAAAGTAGGTAGAATAATGGCCCAAAGCCTATCAAGGGCTATTATTTTACATACTATTGGGGTCCAGGTAGGGTTTGAAAACCCCGCGTGATTGTTTATAGAAGTTAGGGTCTTTAGAGTTCTGGAAACTGAGCCAATGCTCGCACTGACCCTGTCCAGCTGTTTTGCGTGAGGGCTTGTTCCATCTGCTTGGCGGACCGGGTCGACGAAAGCATCAGAGTCAAGTAGTCTAGGCGACAGGAAAAGCCGAAGCATGCCGAGCTCACCAGGCAATGTGAGGGCTTCGGCTGCAGGGTCTTCATTCTATTAGTTCTCTTTTGTTTGGTAAGACTTTGCTATAAAAAAGGTACCCTAACTTTTCCTCGCTTGTAGGCTTTATGGATGATAAGGTCGGGGTTTAAACCTGCGTTGGGGGGACAAGGGCTCTAGGCCTTTCCGACACTGGGTTCAAGTTTAGGGCTAGGGGTGCAGGGTTTGAGGGTGTCTTTTGGCTTCAGGGAATATACGCCCTTGATCCTAGACCACAGACCTGTAACCTCAAACCTCTGATGTAAGCGGTAGCCCTAGTCCATGCAACTCATGCCATCGCCAACATGGGGCGGAGCCCCTAGAATAGTAGGTTGTAGGATGCACGGGAGTTTTCAGGTTTTTCCATGCCCATACGGACCGGAAGAAGTCACTGCATTGCAGGCAGTCTTGAAACAAATGCAGGTTCAGCAATTGGTACTGGGAAGATGTAGCAGCCCTCGTTTTCTTGCTGTAGGGCCCTTAGGTGCCTTCAAGCATCAAGCATTTGCAAGCTTGGGTTTGATTTACAGTGCTTTGGGTTCTGGCCCTCGCACTCGGAGTATCCAGGCTAGGCGTGTGTTGAGCCACGTGAAAGCAACAGCAATGAACAAACATGGCGACTAAGTGTCACTGCACTCTCTGGTACGTGGCTGGCAGGTATCATCCTCATACAGAATGCGTTCGTGCCAGAAGAGAAACAAAGACTTCCCATTATCATCCAAGGCCAAAGCCCCCAAAGCAAGAGAATGCTGTGGGCTGGGCTTGATATCCCGATGAAACGTCTTTGGCGTGCTGCCGACCATGTGCGCCAAACCCTTGGCAGCACCTCGGATTTCGAGCTTGCACCATTTGTTCAGGGTCTATGGCGCAGGGGTTGAAGTCAAGTTGTAACTTGAGGAGTGGCGCTGAGTCTGTGGAGAGATTTCGCCACGAAAGCATAAACTCTTCAACCCCAAGCCCTGGACTCTGGCGCACAAAATCTTCAGCGTGGAAGGCCCACATGAGGCATCACAGCATGCTTCTACGGTTGCACAACACTCAAACGAGTGTTACAGTACTGAACCCAACTTTCTCCAGGTTGGGTGTCCTACGGTACGCAGTTCTTCCTTCTCGACCTCTGCATGCATGAGTCTCCTGCCTACATATATCGCTACAAATCATAGTTGGCAGGATCTTGGGGGCATGTATATGGCCAAAAAGACTGTCGCGACTGTCTGGAACAAAGGCATGGGCCCAAAGCGACGTGGAGCCGCTGCTGCCAAGGAAAGGGTGCCTGTCGACATTCAGTGGCTGTGCAGCTTTTGAGGGTCTAGAAGCATGCAGAACTGACTTGGATCATCTCTGGGGCTCTTGTACTAGGGTCTGTCTGGGTCATCGGCCCCTTTTCTGAATCTACAGAGTCTCTAGAGCTCAGGGCCTACGAAGCCCTGTAGCTCGACCGTCGCATTGAGGGATTCTGACGCATTCCCGCAGCCTATGACCCGAAACAAATCGGTTGCGAAGCCCAGCCAAGCCCTAAAAGCCTCTAGACTGGAAGCCACCGAGCGAAGTCTGGACGATCAATAGCATGACACAGGCATGAATCGAAAGGAGCAACAAAACTCGAATGTGTAGCAATGACAACGGACAACGGCAACAGCGTGATAGTGCTGCTTGTAATAAAGATGCCAGAGATTGGTCGTCAACACCTAGAACTTGAAAAATCTCCTCAGCAGCAGGTCATGAACCAACCTAGACTATACGTCCCAAATCCCCAATCGCCCATGACCCGACGAAACTCTACCCTCCAATCCCTTGCTGAACCACCGAAAGACTCACCAGAGACGCTAAACAGCCCCTGAACCCTAAATCCCGCAAACTTAAGAGATTCGCGGTGCAAAGCTAAGAAGAAAGCAAGCGAAAGTGGACTTTCAGACCAAAAGGCACCCTATCAAACCACCAAACCAATGGCCTGGGTCAGGTCACCTCGTCCTGCTTTCCTGGGCCAACTGCCAGAGTTCCGGAATGACAAGAACTCCGTTGAGGAGGGTGTTCAGGGCTTCAGGGTTTTGGTCTCGTTTGGGGATTCAGGGTTTAGCAGGTTTCGGTGGGCTTCATGCCGTCAGGGTCGGGGATGCGGTGAGGGCTTTAGGTACCTGTCTCGTCCAGGTGTGGAGAGGGCTGCAAGTTGCTTGCCGGACTAGTAATGCATCAGGGACTACATGGCCTGGGCTTCGGGGCTCAAGGTATTGGTGCTTTAGCACTAAGGGACAGCAATACAACAGCATCTGCAACAATAGCAACACGAGAAGACGTTCTGTAGTATATGTAGCTGTGGCGTAGCCGTCACAGCAGCGGTAGCAACAGCAGTAGAAGGAGAACCAAAATACCCACATGAAAGCGTTCGAGACAAGATTTTGTTGGCTAGTGAAAAAGGCCATGCACACGAAGTTCGCCGTCTGCCCTGGACAAGAACCCTAAGACATTACAAAGCCCCGAACCTGCAAACCGTAGACCCAGGAACCTCAAACCGAAGACTCGCAACCAAAACGCAGCAAAAGACCAAAAACCCAGCCCCCTTCAACCCTGAAATTCTGAAACGAACCCCTGTATACAACCCACACGCTCGAAAACCGGACGATGGAGTCGAAAAGCTGCACTTGCTCCAGCCAGGAACGGCTCTGACGAAGCTTCACCTCCACATCACCTGCCAGCTTCTATCTTGAGGCGCAGGGACGGGTTTAGCAAGGTTTCAGATGGTTTCCCCGTTTATGTTTTCAACCGCTTCGGGTTTAGATCGAGGTTATAAGGGTTTGCAACTTCTACGTTTTGGGACGCCAAGGCGGAGTTTCGAGTTTATGTTAGATTCGACATGCCTCGGCATCACTCCTATGCGACGTGATCAACTTATGTAGTCTTCGCTACTGCTGATCTCGGGTCATTACGTCCTGATTGCCGCAGTGACTGCCGGTGAGTGTGTTGCGGTACAGGCTACCCGCTATCATGTTCATGTCGGTTCAACACTATACTATGTTTTGGGCTTTAGGGTTGCAGAACAAGGGCTCAAGAAGCTGGGTTTCATGCGAGTTCAGGCTAGACTTGCGCACCGCCAAAACCCAGTACCCTCAGGCTGAGCCCCGTGCTCAGAGTATCAAGCTGCACTCGCAACTAGACACAGCAAGGCGAGCCCGAGAGATTAAGTTTTTCTTGATACTCACACTCGGGCAAAGCCAGGCAAGGTCTGCAAACAAGACAGGCACTGGCTGGAATGCGCATACGAGGCACACTGTTAGGGGATTCGTGTTGGGGGTGCGGGGCTATCAGACTGTCAGACTAGCAAACCCTCATCATCCCTCTTCACTCTGGCCACGTGACTGGTGGACACTTGCTTAAACAAGGAAATCCTACAAAACGTAAATCCGATTACGAAGCTTGGAAACTTCTTCAATCAGAACAACAAGACCTATGCCCTACGCATCATCAATCTAAGAGTTCTTCCTCTGTTTTCGTGAGGTAAAGCGTCTCGGGGGATGGAAAAATCCTGAGGTCGCAGCCGCCCGGCATAAGCTCGTAGACCAGGTACCTCGTGGGTTTTGGGGCAGATAGGGACTCCAGGGTTGAGCATTGCCTGTGGACTTAGGTTAGCGGCTCTCTGGGCTGGGGCTTTGCGGCTGGAGATAGATAGGTAGGTAGGAAATGGGGTGCAAGCGTTCTACAGCAAGAGAAAGGAACCTCTGACCCCGAACTAGAGTCGGAGCGCCCATCACCCCAGAGTGAAGGAAATATTTACCTAAGCATAAACAACGATCGTTTCGGCCAGAACCCGAAATCCAAAACCTGAAAGCTTAATCCTAAATCCTACCACCCCAAAGCCCGTTTTTCCCTGACATCCAGTCTTAACAAAAGGACCCCGAAATAAACGAGGCCATAAGGGTACTGCTTGAAAACATGGACCCTTTGAAAGACAGGTTTTCCTGGGGGACCCTATAGAACCGCTTTAAAACACTCCTTTCAATCAACCCAAAAAAAGAAGCGCTCCTTGAAGGGCTTTGGGCTTAGGGCCAAACAAAAAACACCTCTCCTTGCCAAGTGGCTTCTGCCCTTCGCGCTGGCCAAAGCCTCAGTTGTTTTTTTTGCACGGCTCTGATTGTACCTATTTAGTTATTTATGCTAGTTGTACTTTCCATGACTTTGTGTTACTGACTATTCTACTATAATATGTATGTCTACAGTACCATAGTACCGTATCTTGGCCCATGCAAGTTTCTGGGAATCCCAGAGCCTCCTACTGTATTGAGGGCTATGCCCAGAAGAGTGCGGGGCTAGTCCTGCAAGTTGCTCTGCTGTACAATGTGGTATGTACGATTTGTTCTGCCATGCTTGTTCGTAACCTTCTTCATGCTACCAGTGCTGCTGATGGGGATTGTCTTAGGGCAGTGTTTCACAACGCTTGGCAGCTCACGGGTCTTGTAGTGGGCTTCGGGTTTATGGGACATCCGTGCCGACGTATGCTGGCCGTTCCAGTGACTCCAGTGCTTGCTTTGTCGCTGGACGCTTGAAGGGTCACTGCAACCCGGAGCCCTGCGACAACCAACTCGAAAGTCCGATCTGACCTTGTTCCTGAGATGAGGAACCTGAAGGCCTCAACCCCTTGAGCCATCAAATCTGTTCCATGACTTAGGCTGTGGCCCATCAGGGTGACCAAGTGGGGATGTCGAAATCGACTCAGAACACGAACCTGCTGCAGCCGTCGAAACTCTTTGGTACTTCAGGTTTTCTGGGCTTGGGTCAAAGAATTCGTATTTAGTGCTGCATATTTACACCGGGGACGCAAGCGAACCCGCCGTGACTAGAGCTTTCCAATATAGTGAAACATCAAATGCTGGAAACTTGTATGAAGCATTTGGCTACAACGGCGACTTTCCAGGCACATGCAGAAGTATCCGGAACGTAGGGCGCTGGGTCTGGGCGTTCGTGCTAGGCACTCACTGTTGGTGAACACACTGCATCCTGCACGCTCTTTTCCGACACACTTAGCGTGTCAGCACCTACGCGTTGCAACACTCTGCCGACATCTTGTTGACTCGAGGGCGCTAGGTATGACTTCTGCCGTATGCTTAAACCCTCCACTCTAATTAAACCGAATGTAACCCTATATAGACCCGACTTCAACCCAAAACCTTTCACGGGGCCACCAAGCAGTCACATGAGATGGATCTCGCTATCGCGAGCGCTGCCCGTGCGAGTCCAACCGCCGGAAACTCGCTTGTTGCAGCAGCTTGATGGAACCTCATGGTTCTGATCGAGAGTTTTTTGAGTGGGGTCGGGCATGGGTTAGCCGATTAGCGATGCTTCAGGTCGCCTGGCGAAGCATCCGCAACCATCCGTGCACATCCTGTTCGGCTCTGCCATGGTTTCGGCTAAGAGGCTAGCACGGTCCGACGAAAATCTGCTGCAAACCCTAAGTTGCATAGGCCCTGCCATCCAAATCATCAGCTCGGAATCACGAACTCGCGAAACGAGACTTCCGAGGAGCTGGGGGCAATGCGGCATTGCGCGACATTGAGCCACTTGCCTCAAGGAAGGCGAAGGACAGTAACCACAAATGATGCGCCCTTTGGTGTTCTAGCCAAAGCTGCATGGCTACATTAAAAGACTGTTCAGACCATGGAATCCGAGAGGGAGACTAGGCCAATCTTTCAATCGGAAGATGACGCAGGGCAGCTTGGTCTACGGCTCGGGCCGTTAGTTGACAAGAATGACAACAAGAACTAGACCCGGGCTTTTCGATCTGAGAGTCTGAGAGTGACTCGCGACCTAAACCCAGTAGCTCAGTAGCTGAAACATCAAGAGTCTATATGTCTAAACCTTATAGCCCCGATAAGCATAGGTTTTTTAGGTTTTTTAAACAACTAAAACCATGTTTTTCAAAAACCATGGCCCCGATAGGCTCATTCCGGCGGGGGCCTTCGGCAGAGGCCCGGCCGCCTCGAAAGGCGTTGGCAAGCGTCCTGGGATCACATGTGTGCTTGTTTGTGGATGTGTGTTTAATTTAGGGTTTAGGGTTTCGGCGCTCACACTCGGACAATCCAGGCGAGGCATATGGTTCGGAGTCTGACAATGTGAAACTTTCTAAAGGACACAGTCGTATGATGTGTATCAACAATCAAGATCTGCAACACATAAAGTGACTGTAGTCCGCAAGACTGCATCCACTCAAGGTCCTACACAATGAAGCAATTAGAGACCAGTAAGAAGGTTTAGGGTTTAGGGATTAAAGGCAGAAAAAAGGCTTGAGGTGACGTAGAATGTGCACCCTGTTTGACAACTTGAGACACGAGTTCGTCTTGAGGTATCTGGAGTTTGCAATGGCAAGGAACCCTTTGCTGAAGGCACCACCCACCACAACGCACGCGTCTTCACACAAGAAGTCTAACACACGCAATACAATGAAAGCTAGATGCCGGGAAATTCTGGACTTCCGGCATGTTGTGCCCTGGCGTGGGAGCTCGTAGCTGGCGCGGTCGAGAACATTGCACTCGAGCAAACACAACTGTCCTGCGCTCAACCCTCCACCCCAAGTTCAAAGCTACGAACCTTAGGCCGCACACGCGGTAGACGCCGCAGACCCTGAAGGAAAAAACATGAAAACCGTGCTAGCAACCTCGGAATCCTAAAAGCCGCGGATCAAAGCTCCCAGGGTGGACACGTCGGTGTTGAAGAGGGACACTTTGGTCCATGAAATGCCTCATCGGTTGGAGTCCCGGTTTCTGGTGGCACACCGATACTAACTGTATCCGTTTATACTTCCCTTCTAGCTATGCAGCTATATAGTTGAGTATGCCCAAAACCCTATTCTACATAATTGCTCGGGCCTTTACATTGAAACCGTCCTTTTGTTGCTCCAAAGCAGGAAAAAGGCTAGCGGCTAGTGCCATATGGCCAAGGAGGCACCAGGTTTCAACCCTTCATGGCTGCGCTCTTGTGTTCTCGATTACTTAGTGTCTTTGTAAAGTGTAAAGCTTGAGCTACTAACGGAGCCAACTGGATCATTGCCAGAAAGTCTTCATCCCACTGCTCTTGATCGCATACTGCAGAGCCTTGGCCAAGGCGTATGTTCTTTGCTGCCACGCTACTGCACTCCGCCAGTGCAACCGCCGTCTTGCACGCGACTTGCTGGTAATCCAGCTCTAGCTCGAAGCTCCTAATGCCGGCTCAACAGGGTTTATGTCTGGTTTTGGGGCTTTAGGACCCCTTTGAATTGGACTAGGGCTGTGGTGAATATTTGGGATAAACGGAAAGTGAGCGAAATCTATTATTACCGACTGTTCCGAGTTTGAGATGAACCACTATACAGACACCCAGTCAGGCATTCAAACTGTGTGGATTCCAACAGCCTACAAAACAACCTTTACTACTACATCATAAGGGATATCAAGATTGATCCCAAACCGGTACCTAGTATGGTATAGCTACTGTAGGGACTACAAACAATGTAGAGGGGGTGACCTGCAGCCTTATCAAGGATCTCAGAGACTTTGTTGCCTAGGATCCGTTTCGAGCTGAGTGCTCGAGCGAGCAAAACGCCGCCGATGTCACCTGGGCCAGTTTTATTGGGATTAGGAGTTGATTATGATGATTAGGACTTCAACCGTGGATGCTGTCTGGAATTTTACAACTTGTACCCTTCGTGGCGTAGGGTTTCTCAAGCAGTGCAGGCTTGGCTTGGTTATGGTGCGGCGCCGATTTCGTCGAACGAGTGAACATTGGAGGGTGGACTTCTTATGCGAAAGGCTCAGGGCTGAGGGCTCGAGCCTGACCTCCCAGCCTCCCGCCCGGCGCTGAAGCCTAAACACTCTGTACCTTGTGCTGCTCAGTATCTCTACTTGTGCTCGGGAGCCATTCGTGTGGATTCTGGCGATGGTATTTGGACATGTTGGCACCATCCTTCTGTATTATTTCAAAACTAGCTCTGTTTCGGCTACGCTTGCCAGTCTTAAGTTACAACATTCAACATATCATTGCTACGTCCGCTGTACTGCTGCCATACCACGTCGACGATGATGCTACCAGCTCTTCGGCTCATAGGGTGAGGGTATCGGAAACGGGGCTCTCAAAATGAGATGCAGGCTACCGGCCTCGGGATATCTTGGGTGTATATAATTGCTCATAGAGATGTTACGGTTGTTCAGGTTCCTCTGGTTTAGATAGCTGGGGTTTCGGGTATTCATAGGCCCCAAGTGTTCAGAGAAGGTGCATTGACAACATTGACGGTTTAGGCTTTTCGGCTCCAGGGTTGACGAGGGTTGCGGGTTAGAGCTCATGCGATAGTTTCAACCCCTTACTCGGCCGGGAAGCTTACACGCTGTGGCTCAAAGAGGTACCCACGAAGCAGCAGGGTACCTGAGGATGAGAGGGTACCAAGGTGACCGTAACGACAAGCATAAGGTCGTGCGGCATAAGAATGTACCATAACCATACACTGGGGAACCCAGTAGAAAGAACATGGGCAATAGTTTACGCAGGTCCCTGCACTAGAAGCTCAAAGAACTTAGGACTCCTGTTGCGATCTGAAACCTCAAAAGCCGAAACTCGGAACCTAACGAGTCCAGTAGTAACCCCTGTACACTGTAAACCCCCCAAACCCTCAGACTCTTTTCTCAGACCTTGAGGAAGTATCGACGGGACAGTAGCGCCAGCTCAGGATATGTTGGTCGTTTCCTATTCTCAGGAATAGGCAGCAGTGAGAGTGACAATAGCAACAATACTGATGCTTAGCCGAACAAGCAACACGACATGTAGAGATATACAAAAAACTTGCGGTTGCATGGTTCATGTAAGTTGTACAGCTAAACATGCCAAAATAAATGCATACGTACATGTGCGCATGCATACTCTAGATTGTATTCGCAAACACACAGACGCCCATACTCATACATGCCGGAGATCCTTTAGCAACCACGTGAGCATCCCCGCACAGCCTCACTAGAGATTTGGGATTTTTGGGTTAAGGCATATGTCAGGATCATAAGTGCTTCCGGCACCTGGACCCTGAAGCCTAAAGGCTCCTGGCTGTACGCTACCAAGGCGCGGAGGCATGGAGACCATTGAATGAAGGCCGCCAGAGCCGGGCAGGCCGCATCTGTGATTACATTCTCGCCTGTGCGGCTCAGGCTACGAGTCGAAACAAAGGGCCTTCGGTTTAGAGTTCGGGGTGGTTAGAGGCGGGCTTCCAGTTTTGCGCCCAGTCGCCCAAGTCCAGACCAGCCAGATGTTGGTGCTGCTGCAGCGCCTGCAAGGCCAGCTTGGCGCCACCTCGGCACAGAAACTCGAGAAAAAGCAAGTCTCCTCTGACAAACGTACACGATATGCCTAAGCTGTCTCCTAAGTCCACGGGTGCTGATTCCTCTGAGTCCTCATGTTTCTGAAGCCGGTAACAAATGGTTGTGCCAATGAATAGTTCATCCTCTGCTTGCTGTGTGGCCGTTCAGTCCGTTCAGCCCTTGTACTTGCATTGAGGTTCTGGCTCCGGCTGGCTCTGGAAAAAGGTTCAACTAAGCTTGGCCTGAAGATACATTCCAAGGGTTGTGTGCTAGACACTACAACGCGTCTCTCAAAGTCCACTGCTGCCGTGACTCGACAAAGACCCCGACGAATATCGTTGCGATGGTGTCTACTCCACAGGCAGATTGACTCCAGTCTCGAACCAACTCGCGTGTTTACCAACTTTCAATCCTTCAGACTAGACGAAAACAACCCTTAAACCCTAAAACCCAATGATCAGAACTTATGTGCCTGGTTTTCCTGAGCACCTCACGTCGGTTTTGAGCTCCGTCGACCGCTGTCTTCACATCTTTTATGAATTTTGGGGTTTCGACTCACACACTCGCACAAGGCAGGCATGGCTTCAGGCGCCAAGTCCGCTGAGCTTTTCGGGTTTACAAGGTATGGGGTAGGATTCAGACATACGGAAGTACTGGTCCGAGCCACGATCGGTCAGCAGCGTCTCCCCCAAACCCAGCCACTTGAGGGGCGACGAGGGCTGCGAGGCCACTGCTTGGCAAATGCCTCGGATGGCAGACTTTTGCGTTCTTACGATCGCTCTCGGCCTTTAGTTTCTTGGCGACCGATGGGCTTCCATGATTATTCAGCTTGGCTTGATGTGGCTTGCATTTCCGTGACACCGGGTACTGCGTCTTTGGGGCAATCCTCCCCTGCGACACCTCTAGCTTTGGAGCTTCAGGGCCGAAGCTTTCACATGAACATGATGCCGTAATCACCGGGACAGCTTCAACAATCCGGCGAGTCAGCTTGAACTTTCGCACTCCCGAAGCCGGTCTTGAAGCGAGGCGCACAAAACTCCGGCATCTGCCAGGGGATTCGACCGGAGGTCCAGGATCTGCAGCATGTTTGGCTGGGCAAGCGCCGTGGAGAGATGCCTCGCGCCTCAACATACCAGAACACGCAAAATGGTCCGGGGGGGTTGGGGACCGGGATTAGATCGAAAGCTCCAGACGCTGCTGCGGGCTTTGGGAAAGAGGTTGAGCGGAAAATGGCGGCCTTTTGATCACGTTGTACTTTCGTGTCTTGGAACTCCTGCCCCGCCTTCCTCGCCGATGCTATTCCATTCCAAACCTCAAGGCAGAAGAGTAATTAACTCTTCAGGCTTCATCGTGAGAAGGACCAGAGAGACAGTTCCGAAATGCTCCAAAGCCGTCTCTAAGTCTAGATCAACCTCTTTGCTGCAGTACTTTGGACCTGATGCCATGATGGCTACCGGCATCATGAGTAGGCATGCCGCTTAAGGCTTGAGGTTTAGTTCCGCATGTAAGATTGAGGGTACTATATAGTGTGCTGCACTCAGGCTTTAGGGTTTCATGAATCTCCTGGATAATTCTAGGTTTGCCGTGCTGCTTTACGCTGGCATACCCGTAAAACTTCACGCGTCTTCGGGCTGCAACTTGATATGCCCCGACTCCTGCCATCTAGGCCCTGGGACTTACAGCTCTCCAGCAATGCTTGCGCCATTGGAGAGGATTGCTTTTACGAACTAAAATATTAAGCCGCTGAACTCCATCAACCGATCCTAAAGCCTGAAAGCCTGTCAGCACTCTCGATTGGGATATTGCTGGCCCACTTGGGGTGCATTCGCCGTCTTGTCGTCAACTCCCGGGCAAGGACGTGCACAAGCTGCGGGCTTCAGTATGCAAAACACTGCACAAACTTCATTTAAGCAAAGGCATATGTGCAGACCTGAGATGGTTTGGAGCATAGACGAGTCCAAGCATTCTTAAAAAGCAAGGATGGACATATCCTCCTCAAGCAAAGTACCTTGACGTGTAGTACAGTGTCACCATTACTACTGTGTATACCGGCTAGTCTGACTGATTGCAGAGAGCTACAGTATGTACTGTTGCTTATTCCACGCTTAAGAAACTCATGCGGAATGCATTGGTGCTCCATCCCCCAAGCCCTAAACCGGCTAAGAAGCACAGCGAACGCAGCGTCGGAGGCCATGACTGCGCAAGCAAAGCCAAGGAGGCATCGCAAACGTGGTTCCAAGCCAAATCCTGGAGAGTTTGTATTTTGTTTGAAGGCTTCAATAGAGCTTTGGGGGCGGTTCAAGATTTTTGTGGGCTTAGGGTTTCAGGGATTGAGATTTACGCTCTTGCAATTCGGACTACGACAGACGAGGTTTCTCGGTCCACAGGTACTCTTGACTGAACTACAACTAGGTGTCGGTTATCGTCTCTACACCACCCAAGTAAAGTAAGCGGAGATTGGGATTTAGCGTTTAGGACCTTTGGGTTTAGGCGGTTTGCTCTAGAAGATTTCATGCGCTCAGGCTTGACGGTTTTAGGGCGGCGGTACACCACAAATCACATCGCCATTCATGGCTCTGGGGGCTGGGGATGATGTGTTCAAACTTAAAGCGCTTTCAGAAAGACGCGATTGAAATTTGTAGCGCAAGGGCAAGCCGAAAGATTTTGAAGACCTTCCATACTCATACAGGTCGACCTTCATCTCGCGAATGCAGTAGAGTGACGAAGCTCAGGCTGTTTGGGTCTGCGAAGCAGACGAAACTCCGAACCAAAGCGGTCAGGCGTCAAGCATTCTCAAGGAGGACAGCTGCACCGCCAGGGTCAAAACCATAGCGGCTCCAGAATCGCCCAAGCCCATTCGGTCACCAAACTCGTTTCCTGGCAGGAGAAGGATGAATGAGTCGTTGGTCAAAACATATTGGAACCAAGAACGAGCAAACCTCGAAGTTCACCGAAACACCAATAGTCCAATATGATCCCCATGAGCAAGAACCTCACGTAGTTTGGGGATATTAGGATATAGGATAAACGCGACTATTCAGGACCTCCCCCTAAACTGCGGGGCTTCGAAAACACCTCAGACGGATCCCAAGGCGCTTTTCTGCACCGCCGCCGCGCGTCCCAAACCACTGCAGCGGAAGCGAATGCACCTAGAAGAGGCTCGAGGGAGATCCTGGGTTTACGGCTTTCAGTTTAAGGAATTCGGGGCTTAAAGGGTCTGAGTATGGGGGGGGGGGGGGGGATTCAGCGGTTGAGGTGCTTGTGGGTTAAACTTGAAGGACTTCAGACTTGAGGGGTTTATTGAGGGTTTTGCGGCAGAGACGCTCCATGCAGGAGTAATGGTTGCAGGATGTAGGCGTGAATCGGAACCCCCAAAACAGTTTAGGTAATATTTACAGTAGTCACCTATATTGGTATAGCTCCTATTCCTCGATCATGTGCCCCAGAAGGAAAGCTGTTCGTCCGAGAAACTCCAGGCTCACTGCCGCGCCGGACTTCACCTTCGAGGGAGGCTTCGACTTGCGGTTTGGAACTTTTGCTTACCGCTTGGCTGGGATGTGAACTTTTTCAGCAGGGTGGGTCTGAGAGTTTAAACCTCAATGTCGGGTACTTGGGCATTAACATGTTCGGATTTCACCAGTAAACCTTCCCGGCATGCGCATGCATTAAGTCTTAGTGTTGAGGGTGTGAAACTTTTGTGCGGATGAATGGTTCGAGAAGCCTTCGCTTACAATCTGTGCTCAGACTATGGATAATGATGGAAGAGTGGGCTTTGAGCTGCGTAGCTCAGAAACACCGATTTAAAAAACAACAACAACACACAGCTTAAAACCCTCAAACCCTACATTTTAAACCCTGAGCCCGTACATCTAAAGCCGCACAGCCTAGAACAAAAGCACAGAGCAGATTTAGGTTTGGCAACGATGATTTCCAAGTTCGAAACCCCATGTACTTGCTGACTGCAGGGGGCCCAAAGTGTCAAACAGGTTGTTGTGGCACTCATGCACAAACGCCCAACGTGAAGCCTTGAACCGTCACATGGGGATGCTGATGCTGTAATGATCTGTAATGCAGGCGTATAGCAGTATACAGTTGAGAACACAGACACACTCCACACGCGTGGATGCGCGATCGAACGATCGATCCATCTGTCACGCTTTGTATGCGTGCATGTATGTGGCTTACGTGGGTATATGCATGTAAGTGTGTGTGTGTGTGCGCACGCATATACTTGCACGTGCAGGTGCACGTGCATGAGTCTCTGTCTGTGTGTGTGTGTGTGGGCGTGTGTGTGTGTGTGTGTATGCATGCATCCATGCATGCATGAATGCAGGAGTGCATGTGCGCACATATATGTATGCATGTAATGATGTATGTATGTATGTATGTATGTATGTATCTATGTTGTGTATGTGTATGGGCCTTGGTGTGCGCATGTGTATGTGTAGTATCTCGCACTGCTTCAGTTGATCTTGTGTTCATACACTCGGCAGCTTACGTAGCATGCAGTGCCTGCCCGGGTAGAAGCGCCATCCGAGCCATAACCTGCGATTTCAGAGCTGCACCGAATGCCGAAGTAGTAGTGTCGAAGCTAATCGGTATGGATTCGGCCTGGGTCTCAAACCCATGAGCTCCTTTTTTGATCGGGCTCCGATACGGTTTCCTGAACCCGAGGATTTCCGGTTATCTGAGCACGGGAGGTACTGATGTCAGGGATCTAGTTTTCCAGGGCCCGTATCACCCGAAGGTAGTGGCTTTAGGATTTAAGGCCAACGCAAGCTTGATCTCTAACACGGACTCGTTGTCATTAGCAAGTGGGGAACCTGAACCCCAAACCAATCAGGTGCACCGGCCGTTGGCCCACGACCCAAAAGAAAGCCACACAGGCCTTGTCAGTGGCGCCGTAGATGGACAAACTTCGCACCTGTTCTTCGGCACTGCCATGCACTTGGTCCCTGGGTAAGCCCAACACGCTAAACATGATCGATGGTCAATCCTCGGCTTATTTTGTAGATTATGGATCCAGCAAAGCGTAATTCTACGCCCTAAACCCTATCCTAAACCGTCCATGAGTACTCCTCTTGATATGGATCCTCCCTGTATGCTGTGTTCTTATGATGAGGATCCGACTGACCTTCAGGCTGGAGTGCATGCTTTATTTTTAAACACTAACGGGAGGTTGCGAAAATAGGGGACCCCAATATGGTACCCTAAACAGTAGGATCTTTAAGGAAAGCACCCCCAAGATAAGGTAGCCCTCTAAACCAGGTGACCAGACCCCAATCGAACCTGTAGTCCCATCCTGGTTGGCCCAAGCCGTGAGCCAACTCAGATCCGGGCATGTCTCCATGAGATGCCGCTCCAGGAGGCCTGCAGACTAGATTTTGTTCCAGCTACCTGCTTCTACGAGCAAGTGGGATACGTGTATTCGCATAGGAACACATACGTGTGGTTCGGGACACGATACATTTTACCGCATACTTCATGACACCTGCACTTAAACGCTAACCGTTCTAGAAACCTCACAGCTTCGAAGTAGATCCTAGCTCTAAACAACCCCTAGACCAAGACCCTACACCGAAACTCAAACATGCTGTTGCCATGAGGAGGAAATATGCGAGTCCTGCCGCAGGCTGCGCCGGCGCACGTCCAAAGTCACATGGGGCCAAATGCGGCAGCCATCGCCCTGGAGTCGTGCAAGGTCCGGATTGCATACTTTTTCAAGGGCCAAAGTTTAGAGTGCAGGGCTTCGGCACAAAGGTTTGGGCTGTGGGGCTTGGTGTTTCGGCTTTGAGATTCTGGAGTGCTTCAGGATGCTTCAGGGCAGAAGGGGCTCCCTATGAGCTGTGGCCTCCAAGGATAAATTTTACTGTCGAATCCACTCATCGGAAACATACTGCGTTGCAACAGACAGGCTTTTGCGGGGGTTTGCACTTCCTCTAATTCTCATTGATTGCGGTGTTGCACGGGTGAGCGTTGCAGAGCTCATCTAGGCTGTTGGGTGTACGGCTGCGTCGGGTGATTTGTTTCTCGCTTGTGGTTCGATATAGACTGTGTGTCAAACCCCGGCTTACGATCAAGGCTTCAGGAAGTCTACAATCTACAAGCTGCAAAAGTTCCGAAATCTTGTTGCCTAAACGGTGCAAGTTTCCAGTGCCTCCATAGAGTCCTCTGATGTGCATGGTAGTGAATTCCGTAATTCTCCAGGAAGCCATTCCAAGGATTTGGGGGGCTTGTGTCAAACACAACTCTAGCGTTCCCTCCTAGTAGAAGTACAGTGAATGGTGTCCGAAATGCTTGGGTGAATAAGCTCACGATTTGGTGGCCTGGTCGCCTGGACTGGCGACCTGGCCATGAGCATAGTGTCTGTGATGAAATACCATGGGCTGAACTCAGGAACTACACGGGGGCCTGGTGGAGGGCGGCAGCCCAGCCACGACAAACCTCAGAAGGCGGGTACGGCCGAAAGCCTACCCTCCATCCAGAAACCGAATGTGAATTGAGGATGAGGGTTTAGTGTCTCATGGTTTGGTAGGGTGCATCCTGACTAGACAAGTAAAGCACAGACACAAAGGAATGAACAGACATAGCCTATACGCATAGATAAATCGATTTGCAAATCTACAGGTCAACGAGGATAGATTCAAGTACGCACAGATGTCGATGTGGTTTGTGTAGTTTCTTGGGAGGGCGGCAACCAATATGTACCCAGTCTGAGGTTGTTTGGGTTGTGGCCTGGCCCTGAGGTAGGGTCCAGGGTTCAGTGTGTTTTCTGGCATCACAAATGTGCTATTGTTCCGGTTTAGAACGTCAAGGTCGCGAGCCCTCCGAGTCAAATCGACAAGCTTAAACCTCTTCGCACAACAACCCGAGATACAAACCACGGAGTTCAGGAACCCCTACTTCGAAGACCCCCGCAAATACCGAACAGAAGAACCCCACTCCTCCGAACAAAATCCGCAGCTACCAACATAAGGACATGTTTGCTTGAGCTGTACCACAGCCAGCCACACAATGATCAAACATCGAATTGCGAGTGTCTCCGGAATAACCCCTTCCGGGCTGCGCGCACTGCCGCAGGCCAGCGCAGTGGCACCAGAAAGCCACTCACACAGCTCCGGTGCGAACTGGGCGTAGAAAGGCAGCCCGGGTTACCGGGTTTGGGCCTCTGGGTCTTCCGGGCTTTCAAACTGGGCATCAGGATCTACGGCGGTTTCAGCTGTGCACTCGTTAGGGGGACACACACGAGTTCACTCTGGGACAACTGAAAACCGAAACTGGGGGTTTGGAGTGCAAGGTTCAGGTGGGGATTCGAGGCACAGCATTTGGATCCTTCCTTATCAAAGACAAAACTCTATTTTTGGGGGTCAGAGTTGGTGGTTAGTATCCGACAGGGCCAATCTTCTCCTATGTCCTTCTCGTCCGACCGTCAGAATCAAGTGCACGGAAGTGAAAAGGTGTGGACTCTTCCCTTGGGGTGAGCCTTGTCACCTGATAGCTGCTAGCTCCTAGGGCTGCATACCCCGAAACTCCAAACGAGTAAGACCCATCATGCCCGAAGCAGCATCCCTGTGCATCATTGTATCAGGCCTCAATCCTTCATCCTGAGAGCCTTCATCTGCGAGGACACCAAAAGCCTGAAAGTCTAAACCTTAAAGGAAATTGCACTTGTAGTGTTCTATGAAACTCTTAAAGGAAATTGCACCTCAAGCCCCCAGTGCTTCCGCCTTGTCGCCATCTCGCGCCTCACCTCTTTGGAGGCCTCTGCTTGGATTCACTGGGCTTAGGGGGACCAGAGGTAGAGCTTGAGGGTTTGCAGGTGCTGCTCTTGTGGTCTTACTTGAGGGTCATGGGCTAATTTTTGTGAGGCTGCTTAGGGCTTAGGGGGTGGGGGCGAAAGTGCACCTGTTGGGGATCCAGAACTCTGGGGTCCTTGGCAGCTTCGGGCTTGGCGTTTTGCATGGGCCGTGGTGAGCACATGAAGGTATCGTAGTGACCCCCTCCAGGCAGAAACCATCTGTGTGCTCTAACTCCTTCAATTGCCACTACGTCCTGAATTAATCCCCGAGGCGGCGGCGGAAGAGAAGGCCTCTAGGCAAAGGCTTCATCTCCAGGCATTCACCTGCAAAGCTGCCCGTGTGCAGTTAATCCGACTTCCTGTCCAACAGCTACAGTTGCGTGCTTACGTCTAGGCTGCTTGACACTCCCACGCGGGCATGCCAGGCAAGGACTGAAACGGCGGTCCGACTCACAGAAAGTTGTCCTGTGGGGCAACAAGCGTAAAATCGACCAGTTATTGGCCCAGCAGCAACGACTCGAATAATGCCACGGCCGTTCCAAGCAACCGCGAAATCTGCTGAACCGACTCCCTAGTGGCTTTAGCTGCGGACTCTTTTCGGGATGCAGGTCTAGGGTTCAGAGTTTAAGAAGCTTTTTGGTAAAAAGATGTCTATGGTTTGGGTTTGATCACTATCGGAAGCTCCTCCTTGCTGCGCAAGAGACCACGCCTGGTTGGGCGTCCACTGCTGTCGCCCGGGCAACGTCTGCCTCGGCGTAACTTGAACCCCACAGCCCAAGCGCTAAAAAGCCGGCTGGCTCTATCACTCTCAAGAGCTGGGGCAAACACTGCACATGTGGGCAAGGGCGTGTCGCTGATGTTGGGCTTTCCTTCGCCGCGTTGCACATGGCTCCTCCGGCGCTGTCGAAAAAAATCCACCGTAAACCGTGTGAACCCTGAAGGACTGAAACCTTAAATCCATGAATTGCTAGGGTCTAGAGCCCTTTACCTTTACACCCAAACTCTGTGAATCCGAAAACCCTACATCCATGCCTTTTCGGGGGTTCGGATTATCAACAGGAGGCACCCCACAAGCAGCAACGGAACTTTCTCAAGTTTAGACTTTGGTTCCGGGTTCCGCATCTTTGAAGGCCGAGAGCAGTCGTTCTAGCATCTTCCGCTATGCGCGCACGTGTGTGCCAGGTGTGTAACGTGAACACCCTCAAGCTCCCTTGTAGCGATTGCATCGATCGTGGCATGAGAGTCTGTGCGCGGTCCTCTCCCTTGCCGCTCGCTGAGCACGCAGCTCGGAACCTGAATTACATCGTTTGGGGTTTCGAGTCGAGGTCTGGGTATGAGAGTTCTGATGCTTGCAATTTTGAAAAGGTTCTGGTGCTAGCGGGGCCATGCTGCCGTGCCCTATCATCAAGAGCCGCCTGCCCAGCCTGCTGCGGCCGAGGCACGTATGGTCTGCATGCTGCTGGCGAGCTCATGCGCATCCTCTCAGGAGGCCATAACTCCATAACCCCTGAACCCTAACCCTAAACGACCCTAAGCCTTCAACCGGCTGACAGCCGGACAGGAGACTTCGACGTTTTATCTTTGACTTTGGACTATCGGGCTTCCGGTTGAAACTCCTACCCTTGCCTACCTTGCTATGAAAACTTCAATGCTGCAAGGACACTTCAGTATTTCTGAACCTAGAGTCCACACGTCCTCCTCCATGAGATCTTGCAGCTGCTTCACTTCCACCTGCAGTTGCAGCAGACCTGAGATCGAACTCGAAAGCTTCGAGTCGCAGCTACAACGGCATTAGCAAAGGCAGCAACAACAAGAAGATCAAAGCAATGGTTTGATTCACTGACTGGCAAGTGCCACCCATATGCACTAGAAAGCTTTGAATATGGCCTCACAACAACATGAACGGCTTCAGCTGTCAACACCCGAACGCTAAATCCCCCAATATGCGGGTCCGAAATCATCAGACCATGGCTGGGCATGCCTGCAACATCGACATACCGGGGAAGCCAAAACACGAGCATTTCCGATGCAAACAAAACCCGAGTTCAACCCCAACTCCCCTGAAACCCTTCAAACACCTTTTTCGGGGCGAGACTGTTAGCTTGCCCTTGTGAAGCCAGCGCAACGCTTGTGGAGATACCCCAGCAAAGCCGCATTGATGACATTCGGCATCCATGCTTGCATCACTGAAAGAAAACTGAGCACCTAAACTGACGAACCCTGGTAGGCTATAGGAACCCTTTGTTAAGCCCATCTGCTGCAATGCACGACAAACCCCAACCCCAAAACATCTTCGAACGCTTACAGGAACCAATGGTCTGCAAAGCCAAGGCTCTCTGCTTCACCTGCTGGGCTTGCTGCTTGGGTGCCTTGCGGGCTGTGAAAGATCCCTCGATGCCCCGATTGAGCTCACCCCAGGTCTCAGGGCCCGTGTGCAGCAGCGTTTCCTGAATACAAGCCCTGGATCCGAGTATCGGCAACCCGAGAGTCGGCTCTGACTCTGTTTCTCACGTTAGGTCCTCTAGGTGGTGTTTGTGGCTCAGCAACAGCCCGTAGCAACCCCATCAGCCGCAGCAGGCTTAAGTCTCCAAAGAACCCTGAACCCGAAAGCCTATGCTAATGTGCCCTAAGCCCTGTCTACACACAGTGCACCCCGCATAAGAAACAAAAGCGAAGGCTCTCAAAGCCCTGAGACCTGAGCCTCTAATTGGCTCTGAACACCCGAAGCCCTAGACCCTTACACTCAACTGATAAACCAAACCCTGAAGTCACAGAGCACTTGTGGTCTGTTAGGGGCACTCTGTGATCTACATTAGGGTCTTACGGTGGGCTTGGCTGCATCTCTCTATGATTTTCCTGTGTGGGACCCTATACCACTATAGAGGCTATACCCTTAACACAACACGCGACGACACCTTTCAGAAGAGAGCGCCCTGGCCTCTGCTGTCGGCTCCGACTCCCCTTGCGCACGCCGGGAGCGCCAGGCGCGTAGGCTGGGAGGCCTGGCAGTCGGCATGTTGGGGCTTATATAAGGTTTAGTTTAAGGTTCGGGGCTCTTCGTAAAATAGTTGGGAGTTGAGGTCTTTCGTGTTTTGTGTGGGTGTATAATTTTTTCGGCAGCTCCAGTACGGATGAATGCTTCAGCAAAGGGCTTCCCACCTTCTCTGGGTTTGGCAAAGCTCTTCGACTGGGGTATGATGAGGTCTGCAGAGGTTCTTGTACTGAGTAGGCCCGCACTTGTGTTGCAAGAAAGGCGGAAGTGGACCCAACAGAAACCGTAAACCGCCACACAGTGACCAGGTACTGAACTAGATCCAACCTGGGACCCCGAATGAAACGAAAGAAATGGCCCGCGCGCATTGGGCCATATCAGACAGCAAGCTTAGTGTGCAAAGTGTAGAAAGAAGGTTTCCGGCTCAGGGGGTGAGGGTCTCGCCTGGGCCGGCTATTTGACCACCTGCCCTACTTACTGAACTCTGTGCTCGACGTGGAATTTGAGTTCCAGGTAGGTTTCTGAACGCTTCTGTCGGGCTTCACCGCGATTCATTCTCGACACCACATCACTCTTGTCAGGAGGGTCCTTCAAGGTAACCTACTAGGACTCGGAGTCCGTATGAATGGACCCCTGAAAACCGCAATCAACCATTGAGACGCCAAACATGCAAGTAACCAACAAAAATAAATAGAACCTTATGACCGATAGAACCCATGAAGTTCATGAAAGAGACGCCCATCTGAGGCCGCTGCTCTTCTGAAACCCGCGGGACCTTTGGCGCCGCCACTTTGGCCAGGCGCGTCGTCGGGCCTGGCGAAACGTCGGTGTGGGGTCACTGTGTGTCTTCGTTACTTTAGGACTTTGATGGTCTTTGGTTATTTGGGGGTTTCTCTAAAGGTTTCATTGAACCCCGAAACCCAAGAGCCTGAAGTCCGAAGACCAAACCATCCGCAAGTCCCAGAACCACTGAGCCTCGAGAACCGGCTAGCTGCTGCAGCAAAGCTTCATCGGCGGCCTCTTTGGTTCAAAACTTGGGCTCTTGGCTTGAATCGCTGAGAGCTGGGAGGTTTGCCGGAAAGCGCTTGTTATTAGCAAGGGGGGTGTTTAATGAACGGGGGAGGCGAATAGCCAGACCTTAACCCTGAACCATGAACCCAAAGAATCCCGAGTCCTAAACCTCCCCAAGGCCCCGGCAAGGGACGTCTGCGTGAAGGCCTCCAAGTCTTTTCCTGCTGTTGGCTCTGGTTCATATTGTAGGGGTCTTGGCAGCTGGACAAGGGTTTTGGGCTGATTGTGGAAACGGGTCAGAATCGAAATAATGAGCTTCAGATGTTTTGGGAGTTTTGCGCATCCAGGGAACGTTCAGACAGGCTTTGAACTAAGCGTTCAGCTAAGTTCATCAGCCATGCCACTAATGTACTGTACAAGCACATCACACTTCGAAGACCACGAATCAAGTAACTGCACAGGAAAATCATAGAACAGCTACAGTAGAAATCGGTATTGGGGTGTGATAATAAATGTATATTTAAAAAACCCTCAGGACGAATATGCGTAACTATTCCGACCCCCCTATTCTGCCAAATCCCAACCTCGAATAACTCTCGAGCTGTGTCATGAAGGGCACTAATCATGGTGGCTCCGTGCAATCCCGGTCAAGCCCAAGGCATAGTCGCGCTTGAATCACTGACCCCACGCCCATACAGGATTTGAATGCGCTACGGATGGTTACGGGTTACTGTACGGTCTTATGAACGAGAAGCCTTGCTAGGCCACGGCCTTCGCCACGTACCTGTCGCAGCTGCGCTGCACGTGTCTTCAGCGCAGGTGAGAGAAACCTGCCACGTAGAAACACCAGAGTTGCAGAACAGAAAGGGTCCTCATCAGAAGGAGCCCGAAATGAGGTACAGTACCCGATGAAAAGAGACGGCATGTGTCTGAGCTAGCATCGGCCATGCGTCCCTTCCTGCCCGCAGGTTCCACAAGGCTGGTGGTGTTAGTGACGAAACGCGAATCGTAGAGGTTGCTGAGACTATGGGTTTTCACAATGAGTAATGAGACTTGACATCAACTAGCTGGGTTCCTTTGGCAACCATCAGCCGAACTCAGTCGATATCATATGTGGTAAAGGTGGTGGTAACGCTTTGGAGTGGCCGTCTGCATCACACACCGTCAACGTGCAGCCAGCTTCTTGTGCCCATACATGCTGATTTTACCCTGCTAAGCCGCATCTAAGCGCAAGAACGGTATGGGTTAACTGCAGATAATGACATTTTGAGTTTTTGCATTGGAGAATGTAGGAGGCACAGGATTTGCAGTAGCCGATGTCGAAACTTCAGTTTATGTAGCATCTGAATGCTCGCTCCCTGAAGACTCACAGAGTAGATCGTACGGCGCTCCGGCACTTTGCCTGCCAGCTTTCTTCGGCCAAGCCTACACAGGCAAACAAGGGCGGACTGGTCTCCTAGATAGAGGTGTAATCTAAGGTGCAAGCTGAAGATATCGTGTCGTACTCAGAATATCGGAATGGCGGAAATGTGGTGGTGGTGGCGGTGGCGGCGGTGGTGGGTGGTCGTGGTGGTGGTGGTGGCGGTGGCTGCAGGTGGCGGCGGCGGCGGTGGTCAGCTGGGCAACTAAGCCTAACTAAGCTGCCCTCAAGTGTGCCACAAAAGAAGATCGGGCTTCATGCGAGAATGAGGGTTATCGATGGAGACAGCATCCCCCATAAGGGCCTGAACTCGCTTGTGTCTCGTACCGTCTGTGGCGACAGAGGAAGCGTATGCCCGGAAATTCAGTGCTCCAGAAAAAGGATACGACATCTTTTGCATGATGCACCATTGTCGCGGCAGGACCCGATGCTGTGCATGGAGGGCGCTACAGCATTACAGTATTCAATACAAGAAAACACTCAAATCCAAACACGAGGCGGCAGTATGTCCAAAGGCTACATCAAACAGCGAACCCAGCTCCTTCTCTGATACCAGCGAAGAATATCGATTGAATTCCTGTATTCCCAAACACTGAAGCCAGATCTCGTAGACGCTGCATGCCGCCTCCTCGAGAAAGGAATTTGCCGAGAGGAGATCGCTCTGCATGGCACCAGCGCCAAGGTCATGTGCCGGGCTGTTCCGGCCGTCAATTGCAGAGGCCCGAGACGCCTCTAAACCTCAAGATCTTAAGTGCTGCAACTATTAATAACTCGTTTCTAAAGGCCTGAGTGCAAAGACTCGGCATTGCGGATCCAGTGTGGGTTGGTAGTGCTTCAGATGCTTGGCCCTAGCTACATGTACGAAGATCCCGTGTTAGGATCTGGCATGGCGTTGCAGCCAACAGTGGTGCAAGGTTCTGTCCATGCTCATACATTTGCAGACACTCAGAGTGAAAGCTGTCCTGACACAAATTTAACTCGAAGCCCTGACCCAAAACCTAGACTACCTAAATGTTACATCCTGCACCACGGAACGCTCCTCTTCTTTCAAGGACTACAACCAACCCCTTGGCATGATGCATGGGCCCTTGGATCGGGAAATACATAATGCTTATGTGAGACTGGTGTCTCACAGATCTGTCAGTGTGAGAACTGCTTTCCAATTCTGGCAGTTTGTGTTTATGTTTTGCGGCACTATCCGCTGCACTATTGTTTTCAGCCTTAAAGCATGGAACCCGTTCTCCTCTTGCACCTTATCATGACAACGACTGTGAAAGCGTGTATAGTAGACGACAACGACGAAATCAACATGCTTTTAGGAAAGGCTTGGACCTGAGCAAGCCATGGCTTGCATTAGCGGCTTACATCAAGCGCATGCACGGAGAGTGCCATGCCTGGAATTGCTGGGCCCGGTATCGTATGGTTGCAGTCAGAAAGTCGGAACATTAGTCTCCGCATGATTTTAAGATAAAGTATAAGGGGTCCTAGCACTACTCCTCCTAAGTCCATGCTCCAACTCTCTGGGACTCGCTGTAGTTTAACCTTACTAAACCCTGATTTTCAAACGCCCTACAGAAGCGGAGCTGAGCCCAAAAAGGCGCCTCATCCTCGAAGCCTTCCACTCCTCGTCACGAATCCGCAGTGTAACCGTTTCTCGGCTTACTTTCAGGAGCAAGCTCTAGGAGTAGTTTTGGACATGTCCTGTGCTAACCACAACTACATTCCACTGCGGCCTGCTTTAGTATGCATGTCTGTCTGTGTCATGTAGGCCTCATATCCATGTCAGCAGGTGGGGCCGCACAACCTAAACTTAAACACTGAAGCCTTGAAGCCATGAGCCCGTCTAGGAGTCGAGGGTCAGTGTGGTGGCTTTAGGGAAGAACGGAATTCTGAGGCTTAGGCTCCTAGAAGAGTTCAAGGTTAAGGGATTGGAGTTTGGGTTCAGGGGTTGAGGGGCTGAAGGTTTGGGGTGTGGCCTGTCTCTCTCAGACTGCTGCGGAAGCGGCAGTCAGCGGGCCTGAAAGTGTCTGAATTTCCTCAAAAGCCAAATCCGCGTGCCCTGAGAACATCTTAAACGCCCGCAGAACTCAGAAACCCCAACTCTCAACCTGAACCCTAATTTTGATGTTTATTCCAGAAAACTACAAGATCATAAGTTAAACTATCAGCAACTATCACGTTCCGAGACAAACCCGAACATTTCCAAATCCTTGTAACCTCATATCAAAACACATTGAAGCCCGATAAACCTTGAAACCCCAGAATCCCTACAACCACAAACCCGAACATCCTTTAAAATAACCCCGGTAAACCCTTACAACCCATAGCCCCACAACCAGATGAACCCGACCAAACCTCAGCAAACAGTCGAAACCTCTCAAACCAATAACATCAACAAACATCGCAAATTCCTAAACCGCCAATAAAAGCATCATGAAGCCCTTCAGAAACCCGAGCATCCCGACTCTATTCCTGAACCCTATAATAAGAGCTACTAAATTAAACCCCCACAACCTTCTAAGTCGCACCCCCGAACTTGGCTGAGACCTCCCATGTCCGCGAGGACCTTGATGGCCACCTTCGGGAAATGGAAGGGTCGTTTTCGGCTTGATTCAGGGTGGGATCTATCATGTCTACAGGCGTCTTGGATGCTGTTGGCGGCTTGGCTTCGTGATACTTATAGAGGCTTGGCAGGCTGAGGACTGAGCAAGTTGCAGGTCCATCCAAGTTTAAACGCCTATGCCTGCAGGTTTGGGGAACTGGGATATCTAGGGTTCAGGAGCTGAGGGGGGTCGGTGGCTTGCATGTAGCTATACAATCTCTACCCGAAAGGAGTTCTAGATGGTCGGGCTATAGGGACTGAGGATCGAAGGATACTTTCCTGAGCCCCAGCGGCTCCCTTGCGAAGGGCAGCCGTTAGTCAAAAAACTCACTTTAGGCTCCAACCTAGTACTTCGCTCCGTAAGGTGTCGGAATTCTGGCTGCCCATGAAGAAGCCCCCGTTTGAACCCCGGTGGCACCTATATGGAACCCTAAGCCCTGCATGAACCCTTTTTTGAACGAGGTCTCTCTGAGATCAACCCTAATCCCTGGACCGCTGTTCACTAAACCCGGATCATCCCAGATCTCGAAACCCTTTTGTTGGCAGTGGCTTGCAACGTCTTGGAACCCTAACACAAGCTGAACGCTGAACTGGCATAAGCCTCAGTGACGTTCCGCAGCTTTCCCTGGTACACCTGCGAGTGGGGCTGGCGTGTCTTCGGCGCTTTAGGATTTGGGGTTTCGGCGCTCACACTCGCACGGACCCGGCGAGGCATATGGTTCGAGGTCTGAGTTGAGGTGAAACAATCATAGGGATCCTTAGGGGTGTAGGGGACTATATTTCCTTAAATAGGCCTTTTTTCCTTATTATGGGCCTTAAGGCCCCCTACCCCCCCTCCCCCTACACCCCTAAGGATCCCTATGAAACAGTCCTGAAGGAGCTGCCGGCCAGATTTCGGGGTTTCGGGTCTTCGGGCTTCGATCGAAAACTCGCTGACACTGACAATATTCTCTATACTGTATACTACAAAATACTATACTATACTATATTATAATATACTATAGTATACCATCATTATACTATACTGAAATATACTCATCATCTCGCTCAAATTCAGGTGGCCGGTCCGAGTAGGTTTTGGGCTTTCGACTCGCAGACTCGCACGGAGTCAGGCAGCTGCCATTGACAACACGGCCTCTCTTCTGCTCCGCCCTCCCCGAACCCTCAAAGCCCTAAGCCCTGAACCCTGCTGCCCATTCTTGTCGGACACTTTGTTCTGGTTCTCACTCTTAGGCTTCTTGGTGCCATAAGATGAGGCCAGAAGGGTATTGGGCAAATACTACAGTGTTAGTACGAATCGGATTAAGGAGCCGGTAAGGATATCATTAATAATAATTTAGACGCCTACACCCCTTCAAACCTTCTGGCAGGTTCCTCGGGAAGGAGCTAAAAATCTACAAGGTGTCCGACGGGCGGTTGCTGCCTTGGAAGATCGCAGCACTGGGATTCATAGGGTTGAGGGTAAGAGTCCGGGTAAGAGTCTAAGTCTAGCTTCTCCGAAATTCTAAGCTCCAACCCCTACACCCTACACTCCATAGCCGTAAAATGTCGGACTTCACCCAAGTGTCGGAACCCTGGTCGTTGGTCGGGGCCCTGAGTCTGGATTCAAATTTAGGGTTGATAACAAGGGTAACAAGGGAGTCAGGAAAGCTTGAAACATTCAACGTATATGCTAATAATCCTGAATCCCTAGAGCCGCAAAAACCCGAAACCCTCATAACCCTCAGGCCAAAACCCTCTGCAAAATCCTGGGGGGGCTAAGGCGCAGGCCGCTCCAACACCACCTGCTCCGAGCCGATGCTCCTCGACGGCTTAGTAAGTGCATGGAATACTACTATACTGAACTTAGAACCCTAGCAAAAATCATAATTTCAGCTGTTTCTTAGGGATTATAATAACCAAAATTAAAAAGAATTTCTAAGTACGCCTAAGATTAGGTAAAACTCCCAAACTGATTGTGAGATCGGTGTTTAGGCCGAAGGATTCAGGCAGCAGTCCGTCTCACGTAAACTTCGGTTCGACCCCAATCCGATAGTCCTAACAGCAACAGCTGATCCGATTTCAACGGTGTCTCGCCCTCCTTCGCGAAACCATTCGTCGCGGCTGCTAGATCCTGCGAGAGGACTGTTCAATAGGCGGCTCTGGGGGTTTGGGAGTCCAGGCCTAAAGAATCCAGACAGGATGCATTGAGAATCCCTCTCTCCCTCTCTCTCTCTCTCTCTCTCTCTCTCTCTCTCTCTCTCTCTCTCGTTGAAACTCGACAGGGTGGGAAGCCACTTTGTGGCCCATTGGCTCCGAGTACGGGCTTTGAACTGTGCAAGTACTTAGACTGTTTTGGAATGCTTCTAGTAGCCTCAGAAAAAATGTCCTAGATTTCTGTAGTAAACCTATGAGCCCTACAAGCAGAGCTCCAAGGGGCTCCCATGAAGCCAAACTCCCACTCTAGCGCCGAATGCCGCCACACACTGCACAGGAAGACCCTGCAGGAGGGGAGCACAGATGTCTGCACAACTAATGCATAATGATGCCGGCAGCCCCTGGTAGTCCTCAATTATTCTACCGTAATGTGGCGTCAGCGTGTTCAACCTATTCCCACAAAATCCTTTCAAACACTCCTGTCCTCATAGGGATATTCCAGTGCGATTTCCGACAGCCTCGAACGTGGCTGTTGTGTCCATGTAAGGGCTTGCTGACAGCTTGACATGGGGGGTGTTTTCTTGCGAGTGTGTTTTTGTGCATCTTACACCCCCGCCTCGGATATGTTTGGGCTTTCGGTCATGCGACTTGGAAGGAGTGGTGTTTTATCATGTCCAGAAGCTGCTGTCATAAGCTGCTGTGGACTGGAACATCTCAATCTTGCAGCTACAAACAGTCCAGCCATTAGAGATGTTGGCATCGGTCAGCTTTGGCAAATGGTGCGCGATCTTGGCGCTGTTGCTGCCCGCTTTTGCTTCAGGCTCGCAGTCCATCCAGATCCGAAAATTTTGGATGTGCTTGTGGACAATGGGATCAGGATATACTACGTGTTCAGCACTTTCACCGCAGCTGCAGCCTGTAGAGTATCT